GCGATAGATACAACAAAAAGTATGAAAAATTCCATGGATGATTATATTTATTGCTATTAAAAATAAAGAGTCACTGGGAGTGATGTTGGCACTTTTTGAAAAAATTTTCAGCATCGCTCACTGCAACGTTGGCACTCTAGGGGTTAAACGTCCGTTCGTGAAGGCGACAAATCGGCATCTTCCCGAGTCGAGGAAAAACGTCTCGGTTCTCGGGCTAAAACAGCAGACCCTTTTTCCTACATTTTCCGTTAGGACTGCAACGGTTTTGCCCTCTACGTAGGCCCTAGTTTATGACCTGTCCTTGCACTGGAATGTCAAGCGCACTCCTCTGTTTCCCTTTTCTCTTTTTTCCCAAAATGCCTACAAAAAGTAAAGTCACCAGTAATTGACCTGATATCAATAGTTTACCATTTTTCAGGCAAACGTAAAAAATAAGGTCTTTAAAAACAATAACCTTTCTATAAAGAAGCGATAGATGTGTTGCAGTATCTACCGATCCAGCTCCGAAACACTTTTACTTGAATTGAATTGTTTATCGTAAAAACTAACAATTTATTTCATTGACGTTGATTGTATGTCTCCAATTCTCAACATGAAATTAACTTCTTTTCATTTGTATTTGCCCTTTTACTTGTAATTTGTCATAATCGTTACAAATAAACGATATTAAAGTAATCACTTTTAATGCTTTTGGGTTTACTATAAGTGGTCAACTAGTAAGCAACATATGGTCAATTACTAGTTTTTTCGTTTTAAAGGATAGTCTACTTCTGGCGCAAGTATTGAATTTTCAAAAATATCTATAAAATTTGGCCAATATAATTAGTTCAAAAAACTTTTTCATGCATAGGGTCTCTCTATTTAATAAAGGAGCAAGCGTTCACTATTATTCGCACAGAAAATTTTTCTTAACTAGTCAATTGTTGGTGCTTCTACCTTATTTTTTACGCTCTGGCACAATAGTGAGGAATATAAACCCTTTCCTATCGTCCTACTTGCTCGTAAGGTGAAGCCTGTTCTTGTTCGTTAATACAGCCGAAATAGAACGATCAATGAATGATCATAGTTATACCGGGTTATGTAACGTTATTTTTAGGCTGCCGTCCGCGCGTACTGCGTCGAGTCGTAATATCGACCCCGATGATATGATACCCCCAGCGAATTGCAGTTTCAAACACCATCCCAGCTGCGATGACTGATCGATCGTTTATTTTTATTTTTCTCTATTTCAATATCATCCCCACAGGACAGTACGCGAGCTTCGGTCCAGTGGCGGCTTACAAACGCTTCTGCCCCCTGTTATGCGGCCTGGGATACGGGATGGTTCTTGTTAGTTCCGTTGTGATGCTCTATTACAACCTAATCATCGCCTGGACGCTTTATTACATCTTCGTTTCCATCGATGGTGAGTTTCCTTGGCTTTAAGGTGCGCCGAGGCGATTCGGATCACACATATCGTAAATTGCTCGTGGATATATATTTTAAAACGTGTAATTGATGTCATCACAGTCTAAAATATTTATTCCAAAGAATTAAAAAGTACCCTTTTTATATAATAGTATATTCCATTGATTTACTAAATACTTATGATTTCTATCATGAACTAGAATTTTAATTTGAACGAAGACTAACGAGTGATACACTTTTATATATGTGAAAATTCTAGCAATGTTATTAAACTCTCTCCCTACATTTTCACATCGTAAATCTCTTTCTCATCGTTAATTCCAATTAAGAGTGGATTGAATCGAAATAGGATTCCAGGCCACGTTTGTTACATCGCAAATTATATTTTTCATTTATTGTCCCCTGTTTGCGAAAGGAAGATTTAAAAATATTCTTTTTCGCTTTTCATTAGCAGTGTTTTAGTGTTCTTATTCCTTTACTGTCAAAGAGAAGACGATCCGCCTCAGTCCACTCTACCAAATCTGATAAGATTTTGTTTTGATCAGGCAGAGGCCTGAGGAGGTAGTCCTGATGATTTAGGCCAGAGTTATCTAGAGTTGGAAATTTCCCCTTGCACCCTGAAGGAAAATTTAAATTACATTAGTTGCCATGAATTTGTGGCAGGAATGGTTCATACATGAAGGATAGAAGCAGAGAAACTTTAACAAAATCTGTAATATCACGTTCGATAAGAAAAAGACAAGACTATATCTGTTCCTTCGTTTACGCGGAGTATACGTTCCGCGTGGATTCCTTTTACGCGAGTGAAAATCGCATAAATAGAGTATCCGTACGGAAGAAAACAAAATAGTAGAAAGAAAAGCTGGTATAAGTTTTAGAAATACATATTTATTTTACATAGCTTAACAAAAAAATGATAATTATATTATTAATGAAAAAAATAATCATTTCAAAAAACAAAAGTAAAGTTTATTTGGGGTCACTAAATTCAGATCGCATACAAATAAAAATTAGATAAAGGGACGGGTGTAGTTTTTATACAAAAGTAGGGAACAAAGAGTAGGAGGGGAGAAGTAAATAAATGACTACCAAACCTGTTTCATTTTACGACTGTTACAAGACAGCTTGGCTGCTTTATTCCATAGATTTTCAATCAAGCCATGTTTAAGAAGAAAAAAAACTGTCACCTCATAGAACCATTTCTTAAAAACTATAATAAATCAATGTATATTTATTTTTATATATATAAATATAGTAATTGTTTATTTCAATTTAATAAAATGTATTATTTGGTTTGTATACAAAATAAAAATTAGAATTAATAAATTTCTACTACATCCAGATGTTACGAGTGAAAAAAGAACATAATTTGTAATAATTTAGTAAAAGATATGAAATCAGTGGACTTATAAATCATTTACGTTAAAGTTTATTATATCAGTTCTGTGAAATCCTTGTAGAATATTTTTCATCGTCATTAATCGTAAAACCCGTTTTGGGTCAAGTTATTGTTCGCGAGAGACATTGAGATCTGGAGGCTAACGGGTACACGTGCACTTAGCAGTCACTGGTTGACGCTTATAGAAACTAATGTGACTAAAAGTTGAGTTTATCATGATTACATGGGATGTGTATTTTACAAATATTCGAGTTTAATTTTCTTACAATTATTTATCCGATTATCCTTATTTTTCTGATTTATAGTTATGTAATACAATCAATGAAGATTGTTTTACTACCCAACACTGATAACCGAGAATTGGAATGATCATCAACACCAGAGGTCCGCTAACATAAAGTCTAATATACAATAAATTACATAAATATGTACCTATACTTATGTATAGCGCTGTTGGATACCTGTATGTACAGTATGTTTATTATTAATTTATGTTATACGTACATGTCTATTAAGACACAATAGTTACTATAGTTAACACGTTAAGCGCCAAGCCTATTTTGTTTTCCTTTTCGTTTAAGTTGCGATAAGTACCTTTTACAGTATTTATATGTAAGGTTTCAATAAGATTACATATATGTCGTTATACATGTTCTTTGTATGTATCTTATCGCAATCTATACATTAATATTATTTATTGTCAGTCACCGGTTAACGTGTTAAGATACAAAAGTACAATAAGATACAATAGCTCATAATTATCAACTCATTAAACCAAAGAGTTGTTTCTATAAGCTTCACAATATTAGATAATACTTTGATGGGTATTCGATAATATTAACAGCCTCACAGTATTAGATAATGTATTTTTCATTATAAAACTAATCATTTACCGCTGACGTTCTTTTAAAATTCCTTTATACAGTGTCCGTAGAAACGTATAGTTTGGAAACTAATAAAAACATCATTATTTCAACATTAAATAAAATGTTTATTTCGGTTTATAATTATAATGAGTATTTTAATTCTGTATAAATGTTTTTGAGAATGAATGAAGGATGAAGTGGCAGTAACATATGTAAGAAAAAAATGACTTAAAATAATGTCCCTCGCAACCTATCGCTAGCTCAAGATCGTCGGAACTGCCTCCCCTGAAATGAATATCTACCGTTATATTATATATATTGTAGTGACTTTTTAAATTGTATAAAAATATTTTCTTTATACGTACAAATATTCGCAATTTGTTAACAAAAACGAATAGTTTTCCTACTATTATGTTCCTGTATCCTATATTGCAAGGTCATCACGCTAGACAGGGTCTCAAAGTAAACCAATATAATTAAGAAAATACTGCTTATGACAAGGTAGTGCTCATAGACTATGTAAATGTGCTACTCTTCTGACGAACAAAATATGTTTAGCGACGTTCGTGGGAGGTGGTAAACTGCCGTGGAGTAGGTGCGAACAACCGTGGAGCACGGATGATTGTTTCATGCCAGAAATTGCCGAAGCATGCTTATCTCAAAACATGAGTTATTTTAAAAGGAGATGCTTAAATTCTACTCAAATGGCTTCCATGGGCCTAACCATCCAGAATATCACTAGCGCGATTAGGAAACCACCAGCTGAGGAATATTTCAAGTAAGAATATTTATCGAACAGTACTATCATTGTTAACGTTGATCTTGGAATATCATTATCTGCAGTGATTGAAATTTCGTTTGATTCAGCAATCACGTTTTGGGGATAAGCAGTGGAATCGAAGAGACAGGTGCTATTCGTCCCTCGATGGCAGTAAGCCTTTTATTAGCTTGGGTCATCGTCTTTTTCTGTCTGAGCAAAGGTGTTCAAAGCTCGGGGAAAGTTGTGTACTTCACTGCTCTCTTCCCGTATGTCGTCTTGGTAAATGTTACTCTTCCATATTTTCATATACTTTTACAATAAACAGTTGACTTATTATACTATACTAGTATCTTCTTTTGCGAGTGAAAATTAAACAGCAATGCAATTTTGTTTTGTTTAAATATTAGCGACATAAAATATTATACTTGATAACAGAGAAATAGTATTTAAAATTGAAATTGAAAAGAAACAACCAACATCTACAAGATACTACAATACTTGTATCTTTCTAACTATATCCTTGAAAAATAGAATTTGTATAAAGATCAGCAATCTATTTATCACGCAAATGATAGTCCCAGCTAATTCTTTTCGATTTCGACTGATTTATTAAGCTCGTAACTGCGGGAAAATAGACATCATAATGAAAATGTCATAATGCTTCTGTTTATCTGCAGATCGCTCTTTTCATTCGAGGTATTATGCTTCCCGGTGCCAGGGAAGGCATACTGTTTTATCTGACGCCCGATTGGAAAAGGTTAATGTCTGCGAAAGTGTGGAGCGACGCTGCGGTGCAAATATTCTTCGCCCTTAGCCCAGCTTGGGGCGGTCTCATCACGCTCAGCTCCTACAACAAATTCACCAACAATTGTTACAAAGACTCGTTGATCGTTGCCGTGAGTAACATCGGCACGTCGTTCTTCGCCGGTTTCGTGATCTTTTCGGTGATTGGTTTCTTAGCTCACGAACTTGACGTTCCAATCGCTTCTGTCGTCGAGCAGGGTGCTGGATTGGCGTTCATCGTGTATCCTGATGTGAGTACTATAACAATGGCTCACTTGCCAAAACGATTAACTCCACTTTTTGAATTTTTTAATTCTCTATCGTAAAACGCTTCATCGGCGCTTGACTTTTCGTATTAAAAATAAATTTCCTTATTACTGGGTGTGATATCACGAAGTAACAAAAATTCTATTGCCTACGCAAAACTTTTAATAATAAGAAAAATTATCTCGAAGTTATACTATTTTATACATTTTACATATTCTTTAGATTAACGCTGCACCTGTAATAATGAAGTTAAATACGTTCTATAATGATTAAATCGCACGTTACTGCTACAATTTTATCAAATTTTATTAAATCATTATTCATATTTGTAGTGTTATAATTACATACACGTATGCCAATGGATATATTTTGCATTGAAATTTAATTAAAATTTTTATATTAAAAATGTCTATAATTAATTTTGACATATTGTACACTTGTAACAATAGTCATAATGATATCATCGATAAATTATTTTTTTCTTAAGAACTGAACGAATATTCTCCCTTTTAAATTAAATTTTCATTGAAGGTCTTATATTATAGCATTTGTAATGTTAAAAAAATGTAGGTAGTAGCGCGTTTGCCGATTGCATCGGTTTGGTCGCTGCTTTTCTTTGTGATGCTTCTCACTCTGGGCCTCGACTCTCAATTCGCATTGATGGAGACAGTCACTACCGCTATATTGGATGCTTTCCCATCATTAAGAAGCTATAAAGTTTGGGTAGTGCTAGCAACAGCAGTTCTAGGTTACGCAGGAGGAATTGTTTTCACCACTAATGTGAGTTTACAGAGAACATGTCTTATTATTATTACTATGTCTTATTATTTTTAACTTATTTCATATGTGGCATTACAAAGACGAACTTTCAAGTTCTAGAAACTTCGACAAATACAAATAGAAAATATTCATACTTTAAACGTCCCTTAAATCATTTAAATAAATGATATCGTCTTAATGATATACGAATAAATGAGATCATTTAAATAAATAATAAATAATAATAATTATTACTTACATTGTTATCATGTAGGTGCATCATTTACCACAACATATAATAAAAAGCAGTGCTACTGTTAAATAGTAGCAAATCAAATTATATCACAATTCAAATACATCTTTAACTAGAACGAAACCGAACTTAACAATTGACATCAAATTTTTCCAAGTGTTTGCATGATTTCCTAGTCGAACTTCAAAAACATAATGAAATGCAGTGCCTATTCTTCAAACAAATCAAAATGTGAATGAAACTTACTTTTTCCTTAAAACATTTTTAAAAATTATTTAAGAGTCAGTGATTGTTGTAAGTTTAAATTGTTTGACGATTATGATAAAATTTATTAATGCATTTTTAGGCTGGAGTTTTTTGGTTGCAATTAATGGACAAATATGCTGCAAATTGGTCGGTGCTGCTAATCGCTATTAGCGAATGTCTGCTGGTCGGTTGGATCTACGGTGCAGATAGGTTTCTTGACGATATTCAGCTGATGATTGGACCACACAGTCGACTTTGGAGGTTCTTCTGGACTTGGATGTGGAGAGTCGTCACCCCAGCAACCCTTTTCTTTATTCTATTCTTCAACTGGATCGAGTACCAACCGTTAAATTACGGAGATTACATCTATCCGACGTGGGCGAATAACGTTGGTTGGGTCATTGGATTGATACCCGTTCTGGTCATCATTGCCGTGACTGTGGTTCGTAATCAATTTCGCAAGATGGAATAGACTGGTCAAAAAGTCATGTCGTATTCTTTTTAGGAATTTTTAAGACAAATTTCACTCCATCGAGTGCAATTTTGTTAACACTAAAATTACCAGACGACTCAAAATGACTCATTCCTGATTTCTTTTTTTTGCAATTATTAAAAAGATGACAGAGGTTTCTCTGAGAAATAATTAAAGAAATTGATTTAGCAATACGCAAACTGAATTATAAATCAATTAAAGTTTCAATAAATGCACTCCTGGAGTTTTTATAGAAGGTTTTGAAAAATTCAATTTAACTGCTCGGTAGTTTTAGTGTTACGCTATATGTTGTCCATGTTGTTCGACAACTTTCAATCATTTTCAATTAATTTATTTGCAGCATTAGTCGTTTGTTATAGTGTAAGTGGTATATCAACAAAAAAATAACATGACTTTTGGACGAACTTAATACTATAGATGACATTAAATGACAGAGTGTTTAAAGAATTATAGACGTCTAAATAATATGTTCCCTTCAAGTTGGATAAACTTAATAAAAATTTCATAGTCCGTACAATAGAACTTCTGTTCAGATATCGATTGCTTCAATATTGATTTGGTTGATCTGGTTGTTATTAATAGTCCGCACGTACCCTGAAAGTAACCTTGTCCAAGATTTGTGTTTCCAATTTAGCTAACTACCAATAAATTGTGTACCATTTCTTCTTTCTTCTGCAGTGGTCTATGGAATATTCAATCAACTGCATAAATCTTATAACACGAAGCTAATGTGGATCACACACATTCACTTCATGTTCCATTGGCAATCCGTAAATATTTGTGTAAATACACTTCTGTGACTACTTTTCAACACGAAGATTTAATAAAAACTCCATAAGCACTTCAATAAACAAGGACCTTCTTTGTCACTAAATTCAACGACGCAGTAACAATCTTAACTTACATACAAATAGTTTTTTCCCAATATATAATATTTCGTGTGTCTTCAACACTTTGAGTGCCAGGTGTTAATTTTAGCGAGGGGAAAATATGTTCATTTTCCCACTTGTTACATAAAACAAAGACATCGTAAAAAAATATTTTATAAAACACAAAAGTAGAGACTTCACACTTTATAATGAGTTCAAGCAGAATATTGCACGAGTCTTTATTACAATATCATATTTATTATAAAGGTTGACAATTTTTCGATAATAATGTAGTGGTTCTTTTACTTTGTGTGATAGTATATAACGTATATACAAGAAAAGTAGATTTAGAAAAAAAACTATAACGACTCTGAACACGATATTTTCGATTTATAATTCGAGCCAGGAATACTATAGTATGAAAAGTGTTTAAAGCTTTCGTGTGTAAACCGTGTCGGTGAATCCACAGACTCTTGATGGCGCCAGCTGCAAACTATCGAAACATCGGGAAACCTTTCCTAATAGACACAGCTTACATCCGAAAGTTTTGAACACTTATCACAACAAGGGAACGTATTGCAGAATCAACTGAGAGACCGACGCCGACGATCCGCCTACGATGACGACGACGACGATGACGACTTGGACAACCGACCATCTTACCAAAGACACGATAAAGGAAGGACGAAGAGGAACAAAGGAAAAAACGTATGGTGCCGGACGAAATTGCTTCTGCAACCTACCACGGATTGGGGGCCAGCGGCCAGGAATCCTTCCACGCCTTCCAGAACGCTCACTCACACACCATCGCCAGGTAAACACTACTAGATTTAACATCTTGCATGCGGATGACGTAAAATTACGTTTTCCGTATACTGCTGTTTATATGAATGGCGCAAAACAATAGTGGTTTAACTCTTATTCTTGAATTTTCGGTAAAAAGAAGGTTTGTGAGATGTCCTTGGATTAATTAAATACTAATATTAACCCTTTGAGTGCCACGAGAAATTTGTATACCTATGAAATGCCAGAGAATTTAAAACAAAGATACATGATTGTGAACAAAAATTTACATTTCGGTCAATTTTGATTTAAAGTTCATAAAATTTTTACACGATACTAAAAACATGTTAGACTTCCTTTATTACTAATAAAATCAAAAAGAAACTTCTGGCAAGCGATATATCGCTCCTTGCATTAATAATAAATAATAATTCATATTATTAATAACATTGTATTGATATTATAGACGCTTATATTAACAATTATTAATCACAATTATTATTACTAACATAGAAATATTAGTATTGAATTGATTCAAGATCATTTCACAGTAATTTTTTTTTTCTCGAGAACTTAGAAATAGGAGTTAGAACACTATTATTTTGTGAGATTTTTGTGATTATTTTGTGTTAATTAATTGTGAGGCACTTTCAATTATGTAAAGCAGTAGGTATATAAATGATTTATTTGGATTTAAATAAAAATTTGAATCATTAAACAAATTATTGTAAGCTTTCTTCCAGTAGGTTATAAATAAAAATGATTTGTTTCATTTAAGCGAAATAAAATTCTCTTCATGATAAAATATAATTTAAACGACGGTTTACAGTGAACCATTAAAAAACAGTAAATGAAAGGTACGTGATATTAACAATTAAAACGGTGGATAGTAATGCCTCGAAATTAGTGAAATTGTTAAATATCGCTTGTGACGTGTCAAGTGCATTGAACAAAATAGCCTGCACGCAAGGCATTAATCATATTTAACGTATAAATAACAAACTTTTACTTATAATAGAATAAATGATACATTTTTATATTACGATATCATAAAGAATTATATTGTCTGTTTATAATAACATAATAGTTGGATTTTAAACCAATTTATGGTACATTGCACCATGTACCAAATTACACGTGTTGAATCTAAGCTGGTTACAGTTGAACGTCATCAGCTGGTGGCTTTTGAATTACCGATACATATCGAACACGCTGCAGCCGTCGAGACATCCGGCTCATCAGCTGTCATTGCGTATAATCGGATTCGTATTGTATATCCGTAGATAATTAATTCGGATATAATACGACGGATATTTGAAACATCATGGAAACGTCAACGGCAACAAGAACATGATTTATTTTTTGTCTGTGAGGATCTTTACCAAGGTGTTGTTTAGTGAATTCGATGACGGAACCACTAGTCTAAACGAAATTTTAAAAATATTAGATCCTTAATTTTACAATAATCGAAATCGTTAAGTATTCATTATTAAATCGTATTATCACGGGAATATATTTATGGAATATTTTCATCCCTATAGTATCAAAGGACAAGAATTATTCTTTTTGTATTAAGACAGTCATTATTAACATAAAAATCAATATAGAAAAAATCAATTTAGTTTAGAATACTCCAATGCTTTGAACATTCATTCAAAACGCGCTCACACACACAGTCGCATCATTCATCTATTGCACACACATTCATCACTCATAAATGTATCTATTCACACTCAAATACATTCATTCCCACATAATGTATCATCAAATTTTAGTACGAAACCCCTCAATTGGTTTCAAACCTACGTAATTTCATTAAATCTTCCTAATCTTTGGTTTGCGGAGTCAATCACTTTGGCAAATGAATGGCCCAAATATCAAAGACGTATATTACCAAATATTCTTTTAGATTAGAAATTCTTGATTGTGCGATAAATTCATATTACTGCCGAACGTTAACACCGAGTACGTGCTAGTTTCCGCCTACGCAAGCCACCGTGATCAATAACTCAGATACAACCGGGTCGGGTACTTACACGACCACCGGATGAATATTATTCACGAGAAAACGCCATGGCCCATAATTTTCGATAGATTGATCGCTATTACAAGCCGCTGGTTGTCGTTTTAATAAGCTCCAAGAGTTTAATTAACGTCGTCCGGGCGACTGGTGACAAGGATTTTAACACGCAGAAATTATTCTGAAATGATGAAACAAATACCTGAAAATGAAATTACATTACATCAAAGAAACTGATTGCTGATTAATGTTAGAATTTGCAGTGTTCGGATTGTAATATGAACTGAAGTATTTCAAAGAGTTTTTTACGTAAATATTTACGTAAATATTTGTTTACACGTCTATTTAGATGCCTATGAAATTATTGTTTTTATAGTGAATTTTATGAAAACCAGAATCAACAAAGAATGTCATTCGACCAAATTAAAAATTGTATTGGTCTGGGTTAATTTCATTTCTTCCGTAGTTTATATTATCGTATATCTTATAAATGCATAATAATTGTAGTTCTGTTATTATAAAATATATTTGACTATGTCTAACTATGAAATATTGAACTTCATTGAACTATAATTATTTATAACTTTTATTTATTATATTTGTATCTAAAAGAAACACTTATGAAACAATGCGTTTCGGAAAAGAATTGGTATTATAATAATAAAACCTCTCAAATAAAGGAATGTTTTTCTTTATTATTTCTTTCTAATTTCGACACGAACGGAGTTATAGCCTATCGTAATTACTATATACACTCCGTATATTTTGTATTTTTATAATACTTTATTTTATTTTAGAATGTTTTATAAATACAATATTACAATAGAATAATGTAATTGTGTTACAGGACCACCAGGAGGCTATGATTCCGTGCGGGATACTATAGTCTTGGTGAACGGTCAACCGATGATGCTGCAGCCGTCGAGCACGTCCGGTACTACTCAGAAGCTTCCCGGTCCGTCGATCCTGAAGAATTCCAGTAAAACCGACCTGATCACATCTCAACAAGTCTGACACGATGTTCATTTCACCTCGGAAGATGAGTCTGCCGAAAAATCGACCGCCAAAAACGTGACACGCCAATAACAGATAGTTGCGCATTGTGTACAGGCTGGTGACGATCGATCAATGGGAAATTGACCGAGTAACGATTTGAACATTTTCGTAGGCGAGACACACAGAGATATTATTTTCTACGTACGCTCCACGAAACGCTAGAAGACTCGAAATCGCTATTACAAAGTAATTAAAAGGTATATACAAGCGAGCTCAGATGAGTTAATCGACTAGTAGCAAACTGAAAAGTCAGGAAGACAGGGGGACTCTTCCACTTACGATGTTTGGAACTAGTAGTTGTTATACGCTGCACAGCAGTAACAAAGGACAGAATCGAGACTGAATATGGCGTAATAAGATGTAACGATAAAGAACGAAGTTTGTCACAGTATAAAGAGTGGCCCATAATTGTCTTCCGAACATATATAAGCGCAACAGTATTGCCAATGAAATGTAAAAAGATACTTATAAGCCACTCTTTATATTGCTGCCAACACCGTCATCTATCGTTATACAGTAAACTCCTATTTAATGTGGTTAAAACGTTACGTATAGTACGAATTATCATTTTGGAAGATCGTGTTATACGAGATTTTTCTCGTACGAATAATAAGAAGTAACATGTTTCAAATGATTATTACCATGCCAACTCTTATTTTCTGTTTTATGAAAAATACATAATAATATAAAAGAATTAGGGACAGGAGAAATTGGTAAGAACGGAAAAAAAGATGTAATGTTGAACTTATCTTTATTTTTACATATCGAATCCATTCCAAGAAACGCAGATTTTGGTGTGGCCAACGTGGAAAAGGACAACGCGAGTGAAAGAGAAAGAAAGACTGAAAGTCGAAGCGTTTGGCAACATTGAAGGCTAATGATGAGCTTCAGACCTTTAACTAAAAACTCAAACTTTTGTATTTTTAATTTTTTACGAATGCAACTCTCACCATTATATTTGTTATGTTTTTCTGATTGAAATGACACCAAACACAATAGAATTACAATCGTAATTGCTTGTATAATAAGCTATTGAATGTTCGGACATAAAAAAGGTCTGATAACAGAAAAGAAAGAAATGTTGAAATCGTCCAGTCCGACAATAGTCGGATCACGTTACACCCTTCAACCGCGACCAGTCATCGAGCGCTATGATGTGTTAAAACAATGTTCACTGTAGGATAGACCGACGCCAATCGGATAATTTTCTGTTTGACATCGTAGAACTTGAAGTACTTGAACGTTAATGATGAAAAACGCAAAAGAATTCTTTAATCTTCCTTTGGCAAATAAAAAACAAAAAATGAGAAATATAATTTGCGATGCAACAAATGTAGATTGAAGTCTTCTGTTAATCCGATTCATCGTGTGATCCGATTCTCCACAGTCTACCCTATATGAAAACAGTGATCGCAAAATATTCGGTACGTCATAGGAATTCGCGTTATGGAAACACTAGGAGTCTACTGTATCTCATTCCCTCACATTCAGTCTCGTTTCCGTTCTTTATTACTGTCATGCGATCAACGACAACTGCTCGTTGAAACTTGAGGTACGTGGCCAAATTGAAGAAATTGAAGGAACATAGTTTACCCTCTCCCTGACGTTGCCGTAGGGTGGGTCTGTGGTGGTTGTGGAGGTTGTTGGAAGATGCCTACTGAGTGAGGAATAGGGTAGTGGAAGAGTTTTGGCGTAGTGAGGATAACGCAACTGTTACTTTCTGGCTTCACTAACACGAGGAGGCCTGAATATCGTGAGTGGAAGAGTCCCCCTGATCCTCTAACTATTCAACTTGTTGGTAACCAGATAACTCATCTAAACTCGTCGGTAAGTACTTCGTTTTCATTCACGGGGAATCCCGTTTCAGTTCCATTAGAAGTAAACGAAAGATGTTCGAATTTCTGTTTCTTCCGCGATTACAACGTAGAACTTGTTATCCCCTTAGCCCTTAAATGTTGTAACTTTACCACCGAAGAAAGTAATAGCTAGAGAGAAAGGAGGAGAAACTATTTAGTTATCGGTACTCGCGAGCGGGAATTGCAACAGTGTTCGTTCAGAGACGCAACAATGGCGGGGAACCGGATCGAGTAAAACGAAAGTGCTCCGTGACATGCGGCGAACGCAAGACATTTAGAATTACGCTACTCCACTGCTTTCGATTGTACATACAGTCGTAAGGGATTAACAAATTAATCGTACTCTAGCGAAGAAAGTTACGTGTTTAACGCTGCGCGCGTCGGAGGGCGCCGATTAGAACGAAACATGGATAACCGATCGATTAATCGCGATTCGCGTAAGATTCAAACTACGATAAAGTATCTGTATACTTGCATAGCGAGCGGTTTAGTCGTCCCAAGCGAATAGCCTATTTCCGATTTAGCCCAGTTGAGAAACGATCGTGAGGAATCGTGTTGTGCGCGGAGATGAAACCAACAGGACTCTCCGTAACCCGAATAAAACGTGATTGCGAAGGTTCATTATTGCCGGATCCTTCGGACTGTTCAGACGCTAAACGAGCCGAACGTTTTGTAAATTTCTAGCAAGCACCCGCGATGCTTGAATGTTTCCTTCGGGGATGACTCGTGAAATGTTCCGCATAGGAGAAATGCGTTCTAAGGGAAGTTCGTTAAGATGAAAGAATTTTAGAAAATTCAGCATGATGCATTCGAGCAGGTTAATTTCAACGGAGGAATTTCGTACGGGAAGAAAACACGCTCAAACAATGCGGTGAAACGGGAAGTACAAGGATGTAATTTGTAGATAGTCTAGTGTGTCGTTCTTATTCCTGTGTTGAACTTATCCACGTCCTCCAACAAAGAAATCGCAACAATCGTACAGACGACGTGAATAGAGAATTATTTTTTTTAAGCTGTTCGTCGCGATTGTTGCTATATTTTTTACTGATACTTTAACCCTTTAAGCAGAAGAACTCGCGAAAAATGAGAACTAACGAAACGAGAAGAATGCTAGCATATTTTTGTAATATTTAAAACAATTAATCGAATCACTTCGTTACAGTTTCATGACTTTATTAGTGTTTTACACTGGTCTTGTTTCTTTCACAAATGTTTCGTGTTTATTTAATTTACGCGACTCGATTAAGTTTCAAATCTGCTGCTTGAAGGGTTAAACTGTTGGGTGCTACAGAACTGTAGTTTCCTGAGATAGACTAGTTATTGTTACGTACTTAACCGACAAATTCCGTTAATATTGAGGTTAAACGAAGATCATAACATATTGACTGCTACATAATTTAAAAGCGGACGAAACAATAATTCTGAGGATAGGTTAATATGTTTGACAATACCTACAAAAATAAGCATAGGAATTTGATCTTATATTAAATGCATAGTGAGGAGTTGCAATGTTTCTTTATCAGAGGACTGTGTATATTAATTTAAAATTTGAAACCAAACGATTATTGATTAAAAATTGATTGATACAAGTGTTTATCTAGAAATATCTACTCAAATTTTTTAAAAACAGATCTTCACTTGTTATTTTTTTATGGATACTGATCTAGCAGTCAACGTGTTAATTCAACTGAGCTTAAATGAATGAAAGAGAATTCTGTAAAAATTACAAACAAAACGAAAACAATTCAAAAAACAAACACAAAGATCCTTCTCAATCTGGATATAGAAAATATTAATTAATAAAAAATCAATTAATTAGATTGCTTACAAAGAAGATACTATAAAACAAATTCACAAACTATAAAAAAATTGAATGATTTGACCATCTATCAATTTCATATATTTATAACGAAACTAAACTTTTTAATTGAATGAACAATTTTTACAAATTGCACAACCAATAACTGTTGGTCGTTAAAAACAATATTAACACTTAGCGGCCGGTGGTTAAGCGAGAGAATTTTCGTCGACAGTCGACAATATTCTGTAAATTAGCAGAAAGAGGACGTGAACTATGAATTTTGCTAGCATATGATCCTTCCTAGAAAAAAATATATAAATTTATAAAGAAATTCATAATTGTTATTATTAGTAGCATAAAGGTAGCTTCAATGTACAACAAAGTATGAACGAGTATTTCTACTCGTCCGATTAAGTATTAAAAATAATATTTTCACATGGAATCCCGAATGGTAATTTCCAGAATCTCTATTTCGTTCATCTAAGCCCGCAGTTGAACGGGATGCGCAATCAGACGGGAACGGCGAACACTTGAGCTGTCCGAGCTTTCACAAAAACCATATTTTCGCACCGGTTAGGGTAGCCGTCGAGTGTTCCCGCGGAGGGACGCCTCCGATTCCTATTAATTTTCGGACTGTCGAAGACTATCAGGGAAATAGGCTAGCTATTTTGCGTACCACAGGGGACAGACGCCGGTAGCGTGAAGACTGCAACGGGTAATGGAATATTTTTGCGTTAGTGTCGGAACGTCGGGATGATAGCGTTAGAACAAAGAAGGGCAAGTAGGGTTGTCGCGGGGAAATCGTTTCGGATCGTTTCTGACCGCATACATAGGAACTATATAAATAAAATATTACGAGTCCGCGGCGTCGTGGTACCGGACAATTAACACGTACGTGCAGTCAATAAACTTGAGATATCGTGATTCTTTATTTTTTATGTGATCCCGTTTGTAAAGTGTTGTTAGCTGTATCGTATGTATAACGAATTACCATACTGCAAAGTATATACACACGTTACATATAAATATATTTATAGACGCTTGTACACTGGTGTACGCGTCCCCATAGTTTATTACGTATAGATATACATATATAAATGAAAGGGAAGTATAAAATGATACACGATCACCGTTTACTAATAAGCAGTTAACATCCGAAAGATAAAATAAAATAATGGAAAAAAAGGAAGGTAAAGAAATAAACTATTAACAGTTGCGAAACAAAGAATCGCTGCGTTCGAATAAAAAACACAGATGAATAAAATATGTAACTCATATCCGTGAACGTGTGAAAGAAAACTGCGTGTGTGTGAGCAGAAAGTGTGATAAGATTATACGTATGCATATTTTCTAGAGTAACGAAAGGCCTAACTCCACTCTTCGTCCTCTTAATGAACCGCGCCGCCATGTTGAATTGGTTACGCAATTTGCCGCAAAATTTCTCTTGGATATTCGTTCCTTCACAGTTTCATCCTTTATGTAATTATTTAACTATTTAATTAAGAATAATGCGAAAGTATGAAACGTATACTTTAAATATCAAACACTCGTTCCATCGTGATTCATGCAAGCTGAAATTTTGTATACCTTGAAAAGTTTTTGCTCGTGATACTTGCAGCATTTTAAGTTTTACATGTTCTTTAGATAATTAACGTTGGCGACATTCAAGAGTGAATTAATTCCTGATTTGCATAAACGCGCCGCACGTCGCCCTTTGCTCAAAGGGACGAATTAGTGGAGGAGGATTCCTACCATTCGTATGCATGACGAATCCTCGGCGACCTAATTAATGTCTTAGAATCTAGTCGTTGTTAGTACTTGGAGCTTCAAAGAATAAGTAAAACCATACAATAGGACGACATTCGAATCCCAAGATTGGAACTCGTATCCAGTCCAGCGTGTCGAGGACGATTAAAGCTTCTTTGAATCGATCATTGCTCGGAAACACAATTCGCTTGCCTATAAGTCTTCTAAAAGGTTCGTGTAGTTTTCATAGCTTCCAAGCAAGTCCATTTAATCGTTTACATAGTAATTATTGTCTTCTTCGAAATAATACAAGCTCGTGTATCCCGTTCGTAGAAAACTTTCTCTTTCTTAATCAAGATATTCACATTTTACAGTGTTGATTTTACATTCTCTTCGTTTGTAAACGTTACTTTCTTAAAATAATTTTAAACAGTTGGAAGTCAACAATAATTAGTTGCTGATAGGAAAATATTTTTCTTTACGGTGCAGTATCTGCGGCACTGAATTTAATCTTGGTCATTTTTTTGGCAATTCTGTCCACAGTCATTGAAACCTCAGTGAATACAAAATTGTGTTATCGTATTTAATCTTATGTATCGTTTTTTGTTACTTTATCAATGGAATTTCGCAAATTATCATCGGTAATACAGCACACACACAAATAACATTAGCAACGAGCATTTCATACCAAAATTTTGTACCAAAAAATTATATGCTTTTTGTACCGACCGTACAGAAATTTTCTATCCCAATGGTCGATGCGATAAAATATATGAAAAATAACAAAAACAACTGAATATCAAGTATGAAAGTGATCGCTATGGAGAATCCGCACGAACTTTCTGGAATACTTAAAACATTCCACTACCAATAACAATACGAACGAAACAATACCATTATCGAAAATAATGTTGTTCAATTAAACTTTATGTTCATCGACGCGTACTTCTATGGAAACGTGTAATGATCATTCTAGAAGGAGACGAATTCCTAACTAGCCATATCCGGAGACATAATCATCGAGAAAGTTTCTTCGTCAGAAATAGCACCTGTTTGAATCGTTCGATTATTGATCGGAACCTTGGGATTCGCGAGGGGAGGGTGACTGATAGATAAACATTCAACAAACGTTAATGTTTTTAACTCTAGGAAAACTAAGGCTCGAGTTTATTATAGGGTTGACGGAAATATACCTCTCGAATATAAATATTTTAAAAGTGCAGTTTCACACATGGGGAGAGAAATAATATAAAGGAAAAATTCATGTATAATAACTTTTTACTGTGGTTTTATTTATTATGTTTTTTTATACTAATCGAAGTTCGCTGATGACACCGTACATCCATTAACACTTTGACTGCCACGTCACCCAAATTCAGGTGACACCATTTTTTACATAAACTTCAACATTAATTTTCTTGGTGACATATCGAACGAACTGAATTTTATTGGATGTACGAGATTCAAGAAAGATAGTAAACCAATTGTTATGAAAAATCTGGACTTTTTAGTTTCTCTTTTATTGACACGCATTCATTTTCATTGTGATGCAAAATGACATGAATGCTTTAACTTTCAAATTTGTAAGCGACATTATCATATGTTTAATTCTGTATAGCCTTAACTTTTTGAAATTATTATGCACTTTAACCCTTGAAGTAGTAAAAAAGCCGCCTGTCTGTTTTTTCTGCCCATTAAAATTTGTATTATTCACGAACATGTTAAGAAAACTGTTTTGACTGCATTGGAGTTTTAATAAGTGTTTACTTAGAAGTCAAAGTGTTAAATATTATTATATTAATCAAATGCTTGTTACATATGATAAATTCAAGCGATACTTTTGCATCTGACATATTTTTAATAATGTCTTTGCTGAATCAAAATTGTTTATTCAATAGCAATCTCGAAAGTATAAGTAAAAATAAAAAATTTTATGAAATTTTTTTAAATGAAACAAACAACGGTTTTTCTCAAATTTTTGATGCAATGAGTTCGAGAAGCCTTGATCTTCCTAGGGTTAAGCAAATACAAATTTGAAAGAATTTAAAATTGAAATAGAGACACTTAGCGCCTCATTGACAAACAAGAACAACAATAATAATACTTACTAATTATAATGATTATGTTACAAGTACAGAATAGTAATAATATCGTTAGCAGTCGGTCTGAACCGGCTCAGACCACGTGGTCGACTGTCCTAGGTAGTATTAAGATTCAGTGACGTAGAATTATCAGTAACAACACGGTAACGTTGCCACTAATTTACCACAATACGATAACAGGGACAGAATTATGTATTATCAATATGAATTATTGACTGCAGAGAATTTGTTCAAATTAGTCGTGTTACAATTTAAAGAGAAGTACCGTTTGTTGAATAAATTCATTCTCACCAGCCCTCGTATTGATTAGAACGAATAATAATTATTTCATTTTTATTCCTGCAGAATGTTACTAGTAATGACGAATTTAAGAAAGAAGATGTTACTTAAATAAACTATAATACTTATTATAGGGTTAAAGGATGCTGACTGGTCAGGATCACTCACTGTCAGGCAATGTCGCCATTGTTCAGCTGCTCCGATACCCCATTTTTCGGTCATTCATTATGAAAAATTGTAAACAGGGTGTTCTTAAAGTATCTAACATCTGTCTTATCGTTATTTATAAAATGTATAAGGCAAAAATAATGTAGCCAGGCAATTGACCTTAAAGAGTTCAATTCTTACAGCCCAATAATAAGGAACAGAATTCAACGTCTGTGTTATATGTGATCCATACTTGTTTCAAAATTCGTTTACTTCGAATCTATTTCGCTGTTATAATAAGGAAAAATAAATGTCAGATATACTAAAATTCGTTTCGAAGAAGATCTGAGATAGTATATACATTGAATTTGAATTGTATCGAATTTTTTATTTAAAGAATATGATGCGTCACTGATTGCGTGCACCTGATAAAGACGAAAATAATCCTGGTTAACGAGTTATCCCTTAAAATTATATTTAATTGTTCATAGGAATTTAAGAGTGCTGTAGAAGTATATTTCTTATGTTCAGGCATAGTTTGAAACAGAAAATGGCGTAGATCGTTCAGCATAGAGACGTTTACTGCAATTCGCTCGTTCGTGGATCTCGATTTACTGGACAGATAAACACATGGTTACCGGGTAATGTTACGGACTTTACGTCACTAAGAGCAACCAGTAGAGCGAACAGTACAAAAAAACGTGTCCTAGAGCTAATCATGGAAAAGGAAAGTGTTCGAGAGCGAAGATAGCAATAGGAGGTATTCATTAAGTTTTCGTGAAATGCGATGAAATTAGTTACTCTTTCTCGTTAAGACAGATTTTTGTACGTCGGTGGACAAGAATTTCGTAAAAGGTTGTCGAACCGTCGAAGAGTAATGTCAAGTTGTGAGAGATATCATCTGAAAATGAACAATTCATTAGAAAGAAAAAATGCACATGATTCTAACTTCGGGCATGTAACAATGTGTCCTTTTCATTTGTTTGTAATGTAGTAAAAGGATCTGCTATGCAGTTTTTTAACAGTTCATCTTGCTCCTGATCAACAACTTTTATAGTCAGCAAGTTTAGAAACATTGGTCTACGAAAGCGTTAAGAATTTCATTTACGAAGTGAAAAAATCTGTTATATTTCTTTATGAACATTTCTATTGAAAAAATGTACGTTTTATTAAAACGAAGAACCGATTTACAATCAAAATACAGTAACAAAGACTAATAATACGTGTGAATGAATCGGGAAATAAAGGCAATTCGTTTGTCTTAGATTAAAAATCATTTTAGTAAACACTGAGGTTATAGTATTAAATATTATTTTGTAATTCTAACAAATTTTAAGGTAATTTGATAACCTTCAAAATGACAACATCAGAAAAGTAAAATGATTTAAAAATGAACAAATTATTGGTTATTTAAAATAACTGAATAAATTACCATTATCATATGATTTTTTTATGTTAATTGTCAACGTCGGTTCTAATGTTGACCAAAATTCAGCTGCAATAATTTACGTAGCTTCAAATTGTTGTATCACGGACGAATTGCCTTCATTTCTCATTTACTTCTGCGCGTAATGTTAATGTCGCTGAACAACAAAAATAAAGCGGAAACAAAGTAAATAAAGATTATATATTGTATGTATATCGAACGGATACATATATATATATACATATACACATATATATGCACAAGGGGCACAGATATGTATATACATATATATATATATATATTTATATAAAACAAAATAATACATATACAGATTGTTGTATAATTATGTTAGCGACGGTCTCCGCGTATAGAAACGGCAGAAAAGCTGAAGCGCGTGACGAGTTCGATTTAAGATGTTTATCATACGTTGACAATTTTTGACAAGCAGTGAAGAGGAGGAGGATCCAAAAATCTTACAATGAAGATGAAGAAAAAAGGAAGAAAATTAAACGAAACCGTAGAGAAAATAATTATATATGTAATATCAAAAAATAAGAAATTGTATTAATATACATGAACATTGCATTGCGGAAGATATACATATTATGTAAATTCTATGTATATGTATATGATGCGTGTGTAATTAATAAAGTGTTGATATACATATATGGTTGACGAATATAACTATATGTAGAAATAAATTCTAGAATGTGTTTTTATTGTAATATTTTCGCATTAAGAACCCGAACATTTAACGATACTTTATAGAAAACTAAGGACAGATGATTTGGCCCGTCTGTAACTTACAAGAGAAGGTATCGAACCCGAAAGATAAAAAATTTATGCAATTTTGTGTGTAAGTAGAGTAAGTCAAGCATAATATTTGCAATTTTATAGACGTAAAAGAGCAATGTATTTTTTGTTTAAAAACTTTTTGCTATCTCTTACCGTTTTCAAGGTAATCCATAGAAAAGAAAAAGTTTCATTTTTTCAAGGGGTGGTTTTACCCCTTCAAAGTAAAATGCGGCCCGAAAAAAATTGTAATGTATTAGGCTTGACTTACTTTATTTATACATAGAGTTTTATAATTTTTTGAATTTCTAGGTTCGATACCTTCCCTTGTCAGTCAAGAATTTTTACGGTAACGTGGAAACACTCGAACGTTGACAGAACTTTCTCTTAGGGTCCCAAACCTCCCCACTTTTGTAACATTTTCTCCAAACCATTTTTCGTGGGGTTTTTTCAGATATTCAAAAAAAACTCAAGAACGATCATTTTTCTAGGATTCAATATATTCTTTTCAAACAGAAAGTACAAAGTTACTAATTTTAACCACTTGACCTACAATATCGTGTCTGACTCGTGACGAAAATTTTAAACTGAATTTGACGAATCTAAATATTATTTATTTTCTTTAGATATACATGTGATATGACTTTTCTGTGATCAATTGTTAACCTTTGTAGTAAACGTAGATATAGAATAAGCATAAACATTTTTTCTTTTCCTAATAAATTAGTTGTACTCATCATAGTTTAGAAATAAACCATAGGGCAAGGGGTTAAAGGGAAAAAGGGGTGGGGATGCTTGTATTAAATCCTGATAGGGTTACGTTGAGTCACATTCCAAGTGCTTTATTTTCCAGTAAAACCAAACCATAAAGTTTTAAATTTAGTATTTCCTTATTACGTTTTATTGTATTTAATGTGAAAAGGGTGTAAGGAATCAATAAGATGGAAAGCCTTATATTTTTATAACAAGAAAATATATTCTTTTATATAAATTATATTTAACAAAAATTTTGAATGTTGAAATTGACAGTTTTCAATAGCGATAAATAATTCTAATTCCAAAGAATAAAATTTTATACTTGGACAAATTTAGACTTTGAAGCTATCCCTCTCTTTCTCCTTCTACTAGATGAATATAAACGGTGGGACATGTTTTGAATTTCGTTCGTGTAGAATCTGCATTATTTCTAATTGTACAAGCTCATCCATAAATGAAAACAGCATGCGTTTACAAAACCTTCAATTAAATTATAAATGTCTTCGATGCAACATGGAGTATTAATTGCTTCTTTCGATTTACAGTAAACTGCATACAATGCCTGAAAAGAAAAAAAAATTATTTTTGTTATTAGGTGATAAAACATAATACGTGCGGTTTATTTTCTTTACGGTAAAGCGACTTGAAAGTTTACTAAGTTATAGTAAGTTAACGCGCTTTTAAAAAGTACGTGAATGAAAATTCATTAAAAAATGCATCATAACTTCATTTAAAAATGCGACGAGACGTTTTGACCTATTTAATATTATACAATATGTTCCCTTACAATTAATTGTGAAACATAACTATCAAAGTTCACTTTTTCCTATTTGAAGGCTAGAAAATAGTCTTCAAGTTAATTTTCAACTACCCTATTAATTAGTCCACTTAGAATTTTCATACGCAGATTGTTGCGAAAGTTTCGAGAATCCACTGTAATTCAATTGTTTATTATTTTCATAAAGCTTCAGATTTTTAAATTTAGAAAATGCTGGCACAACACAATGGGTAATGTATTAATGTTGAAGGAAAATATTTTGGAAAACAATAAAAGCATTAGTTCAACTTATTTATTGAATACTTTGAACTAGTAGAATTAGCGATATTGAGACGATATTCAATTGTTTGGACAATCACGGTACATAATATATCTACCGGAAATTCTTACGAATATTTATAAAAATAGTCGATATATTGTTAATTAAAGGTAAACGTTACACACATTGTTAAATTCGTCTTGGAAAATACAATAAACTAACATTAATGAAAATATGTACTTCTATTAAAAAAAATTGCATTAATCTTGAAATGTCTTTAAATAATAACATTCAACATTTTTCTATATAATATAATTATTGTATAATAATATTCGTACTTGTTTTTATGTAATTAGTTCATTATTATAAAATAAATTACAAACCCCTTTTGAAGCATGTAGATCTATAGTCAGCATCATGAAGGCTTGAAAGAAGCTTGGATGTAATATGAGAAGATGCGAAACATTTCCATCTAAAGTATTAAATTGTTTGTAATGATCTTGATACTTGTTTTGTAAAACTTTAGATAATGTTTGATACCATGAAACTGGTTGATTTATAAGTGGCTGGAGTCTTGAATCTAAATTTGATAATGGCTCCACGTGAGCCAAAGAACATAGTTCAGCAAATTCCTTATAAATCATTGCGGATTTACTTTCCAATAATTTATTCCAAAGTAGATGTGTTTTGCATTGCAAACCTCCTCTATCTATCATATTTAATATATGAATACGAGCTTCATTTGCCTGGGACATTATTGTCTGTTGCATTAATTGTTCGTGCGAAGAATAATACCCTAAGTAATTAATTGATTCTTGCCGTATTTGAATCAAATGTGACGACGATGAGTTTAATGAGACACTTGGAGGATTTGCATTTTGAGTCAATGGAGAATTTGGTACAGGTGGTGGTGTAGGTGCGCTAGTGCTATTATTATTAGTACTGAAACTAATGTTAGATATTTTAGAGTCATTTTTCCTGTCACTGACATCTTGATCACGTTCATAAATGTCTGATGGAAATTCCTTTAAAATCTCTTTTTGGAAAATATCTGTTTCAGACTTTGCTTCTGCAGGAATATTTGTGACAGGTTTTTCGATGCTATACACAGTCCGAAATTTTCCGAGTTTATTATTTTCTACTTCCCCCTTTGGATATAATTCTCTCTTACTCGTTAACATTAAATAATACTTCAAAGTAATTCCTGTTTTTTCCATTTGCATAGATTGTTCTAAATATGATACGATTAATGCAACGTCGAAGTCATCGGTATATCTCGTATCTTGTGCATCACAATAACTGATTGAAGGCGTATTCTTCAAATTAACTAAAACATATTCGCTTTCTTGAGAATCTTGATGATCGCATTTCATTTCAAATACACGCATGTTGTAACTTTTCTCATGAAGCAATAAATAAGAATACAAAGTACGACCTGGTATTGTTAAATTCCGGATTGCCACTACATCTAAAACAGATACATCATATGACAACAATATTTGCAAATTAATTATTCATAATTTGAAAACAATATCGAAATTGCAAATTTGTAAATTCGAACATCTCACTAAAATGTATTTGCAACTAAACACTCTGCACATACAATTGTTACAGTGAAAGTATTAACAGTTAATCAAAATGATGTACAAAATATAATTTTTGTAGAAAAAATTCATTATAAAAATGAATAAATATAAAACTTACCACTGTATATAAGATTCCTAGCATAGTTCGGCGCTTTGCTATAATATTTGTTAAAATCGTCGAGAAAATGAATAAGATGATATCCTTGTTGCAATGACCATGATCCGTTCCCAGCGATGTACGAGTGAATACAACGTAAGTGGAAGTCGTATGTAAACGAGTGTAGATGCATATTAGTCTTGATTTTGTCGCAGGCATCAACAAAGCTTAATAGAAACTGTAATATAATAAAATTAAAAAAAATTTTATTATTTCTAACAATATGTTAATCAAAAACCATAGTTATTTATATAATGATTAGATCACATTTAATTCATTGTTTTATACTTCATACAGATCTCTGTATATCTAGTACACGAAAGTCGAGAAATTTAACAAGAGATCAGTAGAAAACTTAAGAAAGCCACTGCTGATCACCATTTTTATTAAACTGATAAAATGCATTTTGAAAAACACGTGAAATTACACTATTAATTACAGATAAACGTACCTGATTAACTAATGCGCTACTAGTTTTGGTTTGAAGTCGATTACATTCAATAATATGTAACTTAACAATAAAAAACGGTTGCGATAAATAAATTTCAAACAGCAATACTCCTCCTAACGTTGACTTTTTGAGGTAATGTGATTGTTGCTGCGTCTGTTCTTCACAACTGAAAACAAATCAAAATTGTTTTTATTCAATTTTGTACAGTATTGGTTTGTGACTTTATTAAAAAATATCTCGGGAAGTATGAATGATAGGAAGAAATGTTTTAGATGGAACCTATACGGTATAAAGGAACCTTCAAGCATCCCGTGAAGCACAGGTTTATATTTTTAAATAGAACCCTATATTTTCTACTACATATTTTTACAGTTAACATTCAAATGTTCTGAAGACACTACTTTGTTATTTCAGCCCGCATTAGCAAATAAAATTGTTCTGAGATCGTACACCTGACATAATAACAATAACTTTTCTATATTTTCATTGATTAAAAGTATAATATTTAACAAAAACTTACCTTTTATCAGGAGATTCCATCTGAATTTGATCAAATCCCATTATTTGAAGGTACTGTTTGTATTCTGACAACATCAATGTACACAATTCTTGATGCCACTTTATGACATCTGATTGATTACTTTGAATTGTCTGCACTTGTTGCGATTGCTGTTGGTGCATATTGACGTTTACATTCAGTGACGATTGTGTGGCTAGTGAATGATCTCTTGTTGCTGCTGATTGTAAACGCCACGAAGGTAAAAATAACAGTGGTGTATGACAAAAGTGTATTAGTCGTGAATGTTGTTTGGAAGTATTCAAAGCACTAATAGAAATCGGAATATTTGGCGCAGCACTACGATTTTGCCACATCGTGTATAACTTATTTAAATCCTCTGAAAATGTGAAAAGTAAGTTACATTAATATATAATTCAAAAAAACGTTTGATAAAAATTGTTACTCTATTCTTAATAAGACTTAAAAATGATTTTGCATTATTTACATTTCCTAACTTGACTAAATTATTTTTGCGAGATAATCCGTTTTATAATTCATGTGAGCTTATTTCAATCAAATCGTGGAAAATATAATCTTCGTATTATTGTTCACAATAGTATATAAATCAAATTACTTTTTATTTCTTCCTATCCTCACCTTTCATTTTTCTTTCGCGCAGTCGTAAATCTTGCAAATCGCAAACCGCTTTCGTAACTGGATCGACATTATTATGGCAACTAGTGTTTGATTTGACATCACGCATTGTTTGGCCGAGTACATCGTTCCATGAAAACTGACTGTGTTTTATGTTCTGTGCTCTGTTATTTGATCTTACCCACTCTTTCTCATCACTGTATGTTCCGGAAGAAAATTTTGTTAAATTTTCCATGTCTGTAATTTGAAAGTAGTGGGAATTTGTTTCTCTCATCAAATTTGGTCGGTGATGAAATATTCCTAATTTATGCATTAATACGTTTCTGAGAAAATTCGATCTTGAAGAAAGCCATGTTCCCAAACTATTAGTCTGTTTCATCAATTTCTCAGATTTCTCTTTAGACCAGTTATACATATAAAGTGTTATCTGCAACAATAATTTAATTACAGTATTTTGTAATTCAACAACTACTGTAAGGTATGGCACAACGAACGTAATTGCTTCTAGAAGCTTGTTCGTTATAGCATACATCACAACTGGGTAATACTGTAGTTGAGCCCGTTTACTCCTGATTTTCGTGAAATTTACAAATATTGTAGAAACTGATACTTTGATCAACCTTTTCCTGTGATAAAATTTTTGCAACCTTATAGTTTCCGAAATAATCGCAAAAAACTTTTGCTATTACTATATTGAATTCTATATACATGAGCGTGCTGTGAGACAACCTCTGATATAGCCGCGCGGTCGTCGCTTTGATCTTCGACCTTCTCGGATTTCACGTAAGTACTTTCTCTTTCTTAGAAGTTCTGGTTCAAGAATTATAACAAGTAAAAGTGTGGATAAGGGGCAGCGCTCCACTACATCCCCACTCCATGAAAAAATTAATGCAGTTCTCACGTTTTGGCCGAGCACCAGCAAACTCAAAGTGCACAGGGGCGACTCAGCCAATAACAACTGTGTCTAACTACCGGACCGAGCGCCATGAAGACCGGACATCTCCCCTTACCTCTGTATACTTTTAGCTTGGTGGAGCTTGGCCAAGATGTGACAGAACTTTAGAAGACTGAGCTATAAGGATATGGATAATTTTATCGATAATGGTAGTAATACCAAACAACATAATTATCTATGTTAAGCACCGCGGAAACTGATTTAAAAATTCTATTTCTACCTCTGACTCTCTTTCTTCGTTCCTTCCTGTATGCCTGTTTAACTGAATTCCAAAGGTTTAAAAGTACATTGTGTTCAGTGTATTCTTTAAATCATATTAGGTAGCTACTTACTTTATCATTTCGAATTTCAGCAAGTAATATTCGTTGTCTTGACACAAAACTTGATTCCAATATCAGTGGATTAAACTTCTGCAGTACTTTTTGATCTACGATAAAAAAGACATACATTAAGCGATTTAAAATACATATTATTTAAAACCCCGAAAGAATTGTGTTGAAATAAAAAATACACTAAAAGCAATGTCTAAATGTGCATATTGACAACAAAAGATTTATGGAAAAATCACAGACATATCATTTAATTTGATTTCAGAAGTTACTTCTGAACGCAATAGGTAAACAAACACTTATATAACTGACTATAGATAAACAATATGCCCGGTTTGTTTGAAATCAAGTTGAAATATCTTGAAAAATATGAATAGTACGAAAAAATGTTTTACATAAAAATTGTAGACATAAATGCGGACATGTTATGATGATATTCGTTTGACCTTGTCATAATGTTGAAAACTCTTGCCAAGATTACATATTTGGTAATTAACATTGAAGTAAGACTAATGTATTGTACAATATTTATAGTTAATACTTTACCTTTTGAGACGAACAATTCCGATTGTATTTTCCCGTTCACGGAAGCTTTCCACTGAGCAAAGTTTCTGGCAATTAAAATACATTCTGTATAGGTTCCTTGTTCGTCTTTATTAAAGTCACAAGGTATATAAAGTGGAAAATTCAAATTATCTTCTTTTTGTGAGGAAAGATTATCATGTGTCTTGTTCGCTGCCTCTTCATTAAGAAGAAATTTCTCGATAAAAGGTTGCTTATCTTGCAAAACAAAAGCTCTGCTAGAAGTATCCGGCGCTTGACATTGGATAAGAATTTCTAATTCTCTGACAATAGTAGGTACAGCATGTCTGTGATAAATGTTTACTTCGTGCTTTTTTACTGACGGAACTCCGATGTCTAAAGCAAAGCGAAACCATTGAGATAATGTGACGCAATAAGTGGAACGTAATTTTCCTTCTTCTCCTGTATCAAATCGATTAATTAATAATTCTGATCCCATTCTTTGCAACCCTTCTACTTTAGCCGATGTCTCTGTGTTTTTGTTTTCTGCATATACTTCTGAACTATCACTCACTGTCAGAATCGGCTCTGTCAAAGGAACTGGTAAAAATTTATATTCCGTCACTAAATCCCAAATAGCATGTTTAACTGTCAAACACAGTTTTTGCAACAAAACTTCCACATTATCTTTGCCTTGTTTCCAAATTTTAAATTCAATTAAAGGTAGTACTGTCGAGGACAAAGGTGTTGATCTTTTATCAAAAACTGCTGTCGCGATGATATTTTCAAAATCATCCTGTTTTATATTCTCTGGAAAACTATCTTCCGATAATTTACTATGCAATGATTTCATTCCACCTCCATCACCAGTAATTGCTAGAGCTATACAAGCGATTCCTTTGCTACCACTAGAAGGACTTTGATTGTACAAAAAAATATCTGATTCTGCAACCCATTTCGTAGATCCTTCCAGTTGTGAGTAATCTTGAAAATGATATTCTGCCCTATTATCCGTATACTTTGGTATATGTAAAAATTGAAGTATATTTTGTCGTAAATAAAATTCTAATGCACCAATATATGGTATACAATGCTTTTCTACACACAACTGTTTAATGTATTCCGGTGGTTTTGGCGGTTGAATGAAATGCACATCGGCGGGAGTTAGTTTACACATTGGATTCCTTGCCAACATAACGGTTAAAACTTCTAACACCGCATCATCTAAACGATTTTGTAAAACTTGTACCAAGTCGCGTTTTACTTCCGGTCCAGCATCTGAAATTCCGTGTACCATTAAGACGATTGAATCTTCAGTTTTATTTAAGAGGTTCGATTCTTTTTCACTGAAAGATCGAACTCTGGGCCGTGTATCATTCGTTGTGCTGTTATCGTGTAATTTTGTCTGTGACAGTGAAACTACGCTGTTGCTTCGAGAGACAACCAGCTTTTCATCACTTTCCGATAATTTATTTTGTAACATTTTTCCATCGCTTATTTGCTCGTGAAGTCTTAGATAAAAAACATTTTTATTATTTTCTTGATACACGAACATGTTACTGCGATTAGTCACGGCGAATCTGTTTAAAACTCCGTGCAACGCTTTTATACCCCGTGACAATCCGGACCTTCCAGGTCCAGTTTTCAATCGGGGATGTAACCGGAAGGTGAATTCCCAGACTACTCGACATCGAAACATGCCAGGGGTGAAACTTTGGGCTAAATCTCTGTTCTGTACAGTGTTACTAAATTCATTTGCAGTTTCTGATTTCCAATTGTAGTCTTCACTTGTTTCAGTTTCTAGTAATTCCGAACATTTACTTGTCTTATGAAGATTTTGCAAAAGTAAATATTGATTTACTTGACGACAGGTACTTTTTATTTGATCAATTAACGTTTTCTGCGTATGCCAATAACTGCTTACTTCTGCCGATGTGATTTCTAAGAACCTATTAATCATTACAAATATAAACATTTTATTCTTTAAATATTGAGGTAAGCCCGGAAGATTTCGACAACGGGATGGTGGAACGAAATTGCTTACCTGCAATGGAAGTAAACGTTGACATAATCACTTTCTACTTTCAAGATTAACCAAAAATTTGGTAAAAAGCTATCACGATTATCCAGATCTTTTAGCCACTTAAAACCGCGCTCTGAATTATATTGTCCTTTGTGTTCATCGGTCAAATCAGATTTTCTTTCTGTTATATTAGAATCTTCAAAATCGTGATTTCCACTGGTATTTTCAGCAACACTACTATTTACGTCACTAGTTTGTAAATCTTTTTTCTCCGATGTCTCTATAACATTATCTTTAAATAAATCATATACAAATCATTATTGGCGAAATATAACACAGTTCACTTTACATTTTCATAACGATATGCATATTCTCGCAATTAGTTCCCGTTGCGAACCTAAGGGTTAATGCTCGGTGGTCATCCTCACCATTAAGGGATAAGTTCCCTCGACAAACCACGGAGCTCGACGATCGAGTAGTGGTAATATGATACGATACAGTGTTTAGTGGTGATAAATATCGGTGAGACAATTCTAATGCAATAATAACGTACTTTTTTATAAGGATTGTTTTGTAAACGAAACTTTTACTAACGTATCTGTGAATTTTTTTTTATTACAACAAGACCAAACATAACATACTTTAAATCGCACGTACTTCAAAAAATTAAACTATCCTTTATTAAATAAGCGAAGTATGTTTCAAAATATATCTTGTGTGGTTTCATTTTAATCAGAAAAACTTCACAACAAAATTGATATAAGTTTCATTCAGTAAAAGTAAAAAATAACAAAGTTTAACGTTTCATTAATATCGCCTTATTGACTTATTTCTTTTGATCGTTCCGAAATTCAGATCTCTTGGTATATTACTCGCAGTGTCCTTCTCTCGGATCAATAAAGAAAAGAAGAGCTTGGCTCGGATCTTATCTGAATTTTAAATCCACACCACCTCACGATTAGTATCTAGTTGCGGTCCAGGTTTTCGGGTACTTATTGCGAGAATACTGTATTGTGATATATAAATTAAACATTATTAGTCTTATATTATAATAATACATTTATTACAAATACTGAACTTACTGTATCATCAAATCTTTAATCATAGAACATACCATATTTAACTTTTGATTCTTCTTTTTCGTTATTCGAATCCTTTTGGATTATTATAGGCGACACTCGTTCCACATTTTTTACGAAATAGAAGAACTTCTCTTCTTGTTGAATACGATATTTGTCAATTTCTAATTTCTTTAATTCGTTTAGAAACTTTGGTTTGCTTTCTTCCGAGGGAAATACAAAATGCAAAGGAACTTTTTCCAATTTGCAACTAAACCTATCCGCTGATTCTGAAACGTGATCCGCTACAAAATTTAAAATCTCCACGTTGACAGAGGACCGATCCAATAGCGCGGTTGTAGTTTCATCTTGCAAAAGCCATTCAATTTCATCTTTTAAGTTATTTATTGCGCTATGTTGATTCAAAGGAAGGTGAGCCATTTTCTCCTGAAAGAATTCACTTCTAGTGTTATTTTCTGAACTACTTCCGCTTTCTGTTCGCAAACTGCCAATAGGAGAACCGCTACAAAATGATGTTGTCCTCAAACCAGGATAGTGTTCCAAACTTATTTCCAATACCTCCCTTGGAAGATTTAAGCAGATGATGTCCAAAGTAATTTTCAAATCAGATGGCTTTACATCTGTTACACTCTTGTCCGTGTAATCCTCCATTTTTTGTGAGATTTCTACGAAACATGTTGGTAGAGTTTCAACTGGAACACTATTCAGACCAGATCTAAATTGAAATCGAATAGAACAACTTAATTGCAAGAAGAGAGGTTGTTCTTTCTCGCAAATATTTTCTTCTTGAATAGTACTCGACAGATATTCCACAGAGTCATGACTCGACACTTTTGACATTCTAGGAGTAATCCTGGTAGGCCATACTAGCTTTTCTGACTGAACTGTCAACAAAACATTTAAAACGACGCATTAAAACTCATGTTTAAAATGTCCATTCATACTATTGTTATTATTATTATTAATTATATAGATTATCTACTTCTCACCGATGTTCATAACATCATAAAAGAATTTCTTGAAACTTGTTTAATCATATTCTGTTACTTACCTTTCTTATGATGATTGTCTGACATGGAATCAACACTTGTCGAATGGAAGAAGAAATTTTCAAATTCATCATCACTATCCGATCTTTGAAACTCAGAAACGTCCTAGAAATTTCGTTTCTAATAATTTCCCATTTTCCAAACTTTGTTCACGTTAATCTATTAACCAATTGCTAGAATATTTTACGTATTCTATAATATTATATCACGAACTTACCATTTTATTCCCTATCCAATTTGGTGAGCAGTAATAGAATTCGGGGTGTGCGGGGACTGGTCTGAATGCAACCGTCATTATCCTCTTAAATTTTTCCCTGATTAAGTCATGTAACGGTTTAACATCGTCGCATGCAGAATATTGTAACTGATCTAGCGTATCATTTTCTGATAATTTATTCAAATGTCTGCATACGCATCGTAAATAATTTGTTACGTCAATCTCAATTAATGTCTCCTCGCATTGTTCTACAGCAGCCTCCATATCTTCATAACTAAGGGGTTGTTGCAGTACTAACGATTTATAGACAGCAACAACGTAACAATGACAGTGTGCCAAACTCACCCGTTTGCAATGCTTCGTTAGACTTCGTTGATCTGTAATAGGAAAAAATAGAAGAATAGTGAAAACAACAGTAACTTTAGTTATTTAAATCATTTAAATACTCAATATTGTACAAGATGAACAAAAAAGAATAATCACTGTTGACTATGAAAAAACAAGGAAAATGATGTAGATAGTGTGAAAAATGTTGTGTTTATGTTCTACGAATAGACAGCATTAAATAATTTACATAAATTTTCTGTACAATACAAAAAGAATATTACTTGTGCATCTGTTTATTTTATTAACTAAATAATTTGTAAATTTAAGTGAAGAATTCAAATAGCTGCCATTTATAAAAAATTGATTCTTTTTTACATCGACTTTGATAAGCCTTTTCTTATACAGTTTAACGTAAATTCAAAGTAAATCGGTTTAGATAAACCACCATGAAGATACATTTGATACCGCAGACAATCTTTCGATAAAATAGATTTAGAAAAGAGGCTATCGGGTTCTTATATCTTAAGATATTTAGCTCAAATTTTCAAAGAATATTATTCGGATAACATTATTTTACATACAATTAAATGGTTATATTTTTGTCCTTTTTAACCGTTTGAGGGTATATAACCCTTTAAAAATAACTTCGAAATGGAATGAAGATGATCAAAATGAAAATACGTTGAACTTATGAACACCTTACCTAAATTCGGAAAATATTTGAGAATAATAATTATGAAAAATATCGTGTCTCTAAAAATATAAATGATGTCACAGGTTAAATCTGTTCTGATTAAATCCTTCTCTACAAATTCTCGTAGGCTACATTTTACTCTAATTCTATCAATGTAAAGTATTGTAGAAACAACTATAAAACACGTAAAGCATAATAAAAAATTGTTGCTTACCACTTGTAGTATTATCAGAGTCTTCACTTTTTGATTCTGGAGATGAAGGTTTCGAATTACAACCAGATTTTAATTCAACGAAATCTTTTTCCTCTTGCTGACCAATCCGAAATGTGTGGTCTTGATAGATATCCTTGTTATGTGATATTTTTAGTTTGTCGGTTAACGTGTCGATTAACGAGGCCAATGAACAGTCGTAAATGTAAACAGGAATAACAAGATTTTCTTCGAAACTTTGAAAGTCTTCGTCCTTACCTGTTTTTGGCATAATATTATTTACTTACAAATAATAATCGTGTCCAGTATTGGAAATATTTATTACAAAATATTCAAATATAAGATGCATTTTCTTGTTAATATGATTGATACTTCTGATTATTTTGGCCAAGATATATGTTAATTTTTAATTTATTATTAATGAGCTATATATTTTACAATACAAATCTGTTTCATTCATTCTTGGCAAGATTTAGAATTTTATTATCAGGCAAAGACATGACAGAGTATATTGGATTATTCAAAATAATGTTATATTACCACATATAGATAGTATAAAGATATTCTTGGACTCCTTTTTCATAATGACCTCTTGAATTGTCTTAAAACAATTGACGGGTATAATGCAAGAAAGAATTATGTCACGAAGTGTTGAAAAATTACATTTTTTTAATTGTTATTCCTGAATTTATATTATAATTATGTGACAATATTCTTACTTATAGTATGATTGATTGTGTATAAATAACTATTCACCCCATGTGTTAAAATTTCGGTACAGGAGAAAGCTATGTTTGTTTCAACTGTTTATTTACAAGATTATGCGACAGAATCTCCAAAAATTCAATATGATAAATATTTCCAGTACTTTATAAATAGGTTTATTATAATAAACATTAATTGGCCCCGATTGAAATTTGTCAAATTTACCAGAGGATTTATGATTCTTCTCAGAATTGTTGCTCATGGGGGAATCCTCTGCGTACGTAGGTGAATTGAATAAACGTACATCTTTTTCCGATGCGGGTAAAACTGTAATGACCACATGTGTTGTACTAATTCCTTTAATGAAACATTTCCAACGTGGATAGGAATACTGCTCCCTGTAGTAGCCATGTTTTTCTGAAAGCGTTTCTTTTATAAGTCTAGAATCGAATTATATTAACACAACATAGACGTATGGAAACGCACACATACTTAACTAAAAAGATATTAATACCTTTCAAAGAAAAAAATCTTAAATTTGGTCCACCGTCCCGAGGTCTATTCAAGAGCATTAATGCAAATTTTTGAGATTCTGCGGACGTTAATAGAAGTTCTTTATTATGCAACTGTTTTATATGCTCCAAAAAATTATCCATCAGGATCCTATTCGCACCGTTTTGACCTTCATGTTTGGTATTCGAACCTTAAAATAATTATCCATTTTGACTTAATTCATATATTGTATCATGTATTGTAATGATATTAATAATGATATTTCACACTTAATATAAGTAGCACTATAATAATACTTTATAGTTTAATTTAAGGAAGAATTACTTAGAATAATTAATAACGAATAACGAAAGAATATTTGCAAAATATTAAATACTGGTATCAATTTGACAAAACAGGGATAATTAAACATCTCCTAATTATAAGTTTTACAGAAAAGAGATGTGCCGTTAAAAATCTTACCATTAGTGAACATAGAGAATAAAAGCTCAGCCTGTTGGCATTTTGGTAAAATATTTAATGTATCGAAAAAGAAATGCATCGGATGTATCTTTTCATCAATGATTGGTACACTTTGATACAATTCTTCAGCACTGCAGTCATTATTCTTGATATTCCTGACATTTTTTTTTGATAACTTTATATCTTGATGTACTTGTCCATATATAATGTCACTACTTTTTTCGTTCGGTACTACTTGACTCAACAAACTTAAATACTCTAAAGTTAATAATGCGTTGATGCACCCTTCGTCTACTCGAGCAATCTAATAAAGAAAACACATCGTAGTAAATACGGTTTCAAAAATTCGAATACTTCGAAATGAATTTCCAGTAAATGTGCAAAAATATATAGATACATCATTCCATAATTGATAAAACTGTTATGTCAATTACGATTATTTGTGGATATTCATATGTTTATAAACGTAAATATATTCAAACTTATTTCGTTTCGCATGTGGGATTATATAACATTTTCACTTTGGTCATGAAACATGCATTTCATATCATTAGTACATTGAATATTTTTAATTCTATGTGGGGAAATGTGTTGACCTAGAATTTTTCCACAACTTATCGTTATGAAAACAACCTTTTCGGTTAGATATGCTTCTTCTGCTCTACCATTGGATCTCCAAAGCGAAAAATTAATAAAGTAGCAATCCGAAGCATTGTTTAGAAGGGAAAAAAAGAAATTTATTCGTATGAACTGAAACATCATTTTGTTTTCGTTATTGATAAAATATTAACACTTTATGCTACTTCATTATAGCGCACACTGTGGTATACTATGCAGCATTATCCTTTTTTACATAATACTTTCTCCTTACATTACTGTTTTCTGCATAAATAATTAAACATATAGATACAAAATTGTATTCTTTTGGAAGTTTAAATTATTCTTAAATTCTTTCAGGTTTGTAAGTTACGCCAAGATTTCAGAGCTTTGCGTTTCTGTTACAGACCGACTTTTCAATACTTTCCGGAATAATCAAATCGATTTACCAGTTTCTTAGTAAACTGATAAACGGTCCATCTAGTAATTTATTAATAAAATCATACAATGCTCTCCATTTTATATATTTCATATAAAAATTAATTTGTTAAATAGTATTGTTACACAATAAAATAATGCGATTATATATAAAACGACAAAAATATAAACTACATAATAATATTTTGTTTTTCTGCATCATTTAATATGCATAATAAATTATTTAGAACTTGTATTTCGGTGGTAAAGATTTTTTGTATTTACATTGTTCATATTATCTAAATAAAAAATAAATGGACAACTATTCTTCGGGTTTACTGTCTAATATTCTAAGAATAAATTTTACTTGTCTTAGTTTAATAAAAGGGTCATCCTGTATAAAATTTTGTTCGCATTGTTGAACACTTTGTAGCATTATTTGCTTAACGATACCTCGGGAATGTCAAATAATCTTTCTATTTCATAATGTTATCAGTGAGTCGTTAAACCTAACAGGTCATTGGCCTATTATACAAAGGAAAATTAGATTTTTATATGCTTTTACTGTTATGTTTTGAATTAACTTGGACAAAATGGGAATGCGATTAATTCGGAACAGACTAAACAAACGAAATAGTGCTGAAAAGATGAGAATGTGATTGGTTCAAATAGACCTGATGAACGTAGCAGAGTTAAATGGAGAATTGTGCGTCCTTTCAAAAAATCAACGAGTCATTTGAGAATATGCAATTAAACAGAGAAAGCAGGGAAAAATCTAAATCTACAATTTTCTTACAATATATATTCCCTGAACAAAACATTAGGGTCACCTATAGTTTTCAATATTCCACCCTTCAACATTAATATATACTCTTCCGGTTTGGATAGAGGGTTAACAAAATTTTCTACAATTACGTGAATTGAAAACTGAAGTATTTTATTCTATTAAAACGTTAAATAAATAAGTTGTTCAATTATTTTCTCCATAGATCTTGAGTTGATTCAAAGGAAAGTGACAGAATTTGTAAAAGAGAAAGGTATGTAGTAAAGGATATATAATAAAAAGTACTTGTCTTTGCTGAAATTTTAAGAAATGACTGAAGTGTAGAATTAATAAAGCTGTGTCAAGTGGAAAACATGTACTATTTAGGAAATTCTTGTTCATTTGACATTGTTCAGTTATATCTTTAGAAGGTTTTACTTATGTGGACTTCATCGTCGAAAGTAGATACCGTTTTATCTTCAATCTTATCTCTTCATTGGTTCTGATATTGATGCTCACAAGGCTGTATAATGTTCTTTAAAAATATATAGGATAAGATTCGATTATGAGTTTCTGCCAGTGAATATAACGCAATTTTGTTCGTTTTATTTTCTTCACATTTTTAATAGCCGCATTATTTTTTATCGTGATGAGTAATTCTAAGCTGTTCTAAGATATGGAATTGAAGATAGACACTAAACATTTATATATTATTTGATTGATCTTAACGAAAATTCTATTATTTCATTTTAAACTTTACATTTAGAAATGTATGAAAACTATTATACCTAGATTTTACATTGTATTAAGTTTTACATCAGGTTTGTTGATCAACGTGAGATAGTATAAACGAAACATAGTTATGTTCAAACTATTATCGTTATTATTATTGTTAAAAACTCAATATATTTAAAACTAATTTTTAACTTTTCAACTAAATTACGAACAAAATTGTTATAAAACATTAATTTTTTTATTAAATAATTTATTTGTAAGAAAATGAATTTTGGGGTACACATGAACTGTTGTAAAAATCATTTTTATGTTTCACTTAAAATTTTCAGAAATAGATATGCAATTTAGCGGAATTGGTTACTGTATCACCTTTACAATTTTCGATTGATTTTTATACAAAAAAAGTATTGTTTACAAAGAAATTGAATTTATGATTTAAATTAACGGTATTTAATATTTAAATCCGTGGTTCTCTTAACTGAGTGCACAATAATTAATTTCTTAATTAGTATATATACTAATAATTATAAGTAGTACTAATCATGATAACAAATTCAGGCCAAATTTACTTATTAAGTTAGTCTAACATATGAAATAATAAATAATAAAGTAAACGTAAAATTTGAGTCCATACATAATTTTTCTTCCTCATACTGTAATATTCTGTTTTAGTTGCGTATACTATCTATAACAAATTGGAAAAGTAACGTTTTTCTTGTACCTCAGAAATACACTCAAAGCGCACGATAAACGTACTTTCATAAGATAAAAGTTATCTAACGTTTTATTACCTAAAAAGTGATTACTAATCATCGAAAGTCCAAATTTCAAGATGCATCAGCTGATTTACTGTTAGGAATTCATTGTATGAAAGGTATCATTTTCATTGTTGCATTCTTTTTAATTGCCCTGATTTTATGCTACTGTAGCAAAACCAGTTACATATTTGTAGTTGTACAATGCCTCTATAGATTGAAATGATAATCGCGAGGATACATATCACGAACGAAGTAACCGATAAAATGTTTACGTGAGCCAGATAATCATAGGAATGAAAGTTTGAGTAATGATTAAAGAGATTATAAATACATGTGTCTATGTTTAAAATATTAAAGAAACTTCAGAAATGTTTATATTATAACACTTGGAAAGATTCTTTTTTGCCTCTTCTCACTAAAAGTGCTATAATATTATTCTTTTCTACTAGTTACAAATTTAACTAATTTATATTAGTCATTTACTTCATAATGAGAATGCAAGATATATTTATTTCTCATTATAAATTGATCATAGTGTGAGAACTATGAGATATGCAGTTGTGAACAGAAGCAGATCGTTTTTATACACACCATGTGTGTCAAATGGAAAAATAATGCTTCTTAATTATATTTGTTTGTTCATACATTGAAATGATAGTACTAAATTTAGGATGATTTACATTTTTAAGTCACTCACATGCAACTAATTTCAAGGAAATAGGTACGTGAAGTGGGTAGAGAAATAATGTAACAATATTTTCGATAAAAGTGAGGAGATCACATATGTGTGCGTGTAAATATATCTATCACTACGTTTCGTTATCATAACCGAGGTGGGGCTTCGATATCGATGAAGGCACCGAGAACCAGGTTTTTCTATCAGTTGCTTCAGGTATATATAAGACCCAGTGCGCACCTAAATGTTTGTTAGTGTTCCCATTACTTTTTATACCTAGCTTATATTCCAATGTCCACGCAGTTGTACAAAATTTTCGTGATCTACCAACAAAACCGGCTAAAACGCAGCCAAGTGACTAAAGTTTCAAAACTATTCTTGGAAAGTAATCGTTGATTTGCTTTACGGTAAATGTTTGAGTGTCGGTGAAATTACCCAGTGAAATATTTAGAATTCAACTGTAGTTGTTATTAGTGTAACACGTATAGAGGTATACCAAGAACTGTTAATAATCACATTAATAATATACATATTACAACAATTTTATTCGATATTCAGTAATTTTTCAACTACAATATTTAGTTAAAGTAACGTAATGTTTCTTATCAATGAAAGAAGAATTTAAGTATTTCGCATTTTGTAATTAGTACATTATCAGTTATGTTACGTTTCCATTTACAGAGGGAAACGTTCAAGTGTTTCAAGCAAATAATAGAATATCCGTTTCATATCGTAGTCTGTGAATGACTCATAGCTGTTACACCTTCATGTATTTATTTTAACTATTGCCATCTTTCGTAGAGTAATTCGTTCCTTGTACAATAAGGAGAACATTTCCCACAATTTATGATGAAAATTTCAATTACAGTAGCGTATCGATCTTGGGCTAGTAAATTGATGAAGTTTCACGCATGATTACGTATCGCCGTGGGTACTCTTGTGAAAGAAGTTCCTTGGTTACCAGCGACAAGAAGTTAATCCTCGATCAGACTGCATGGGCATTGTATTATCTGCACGACTTACAGTTGGAAGTGAGGATCTAGGCAGTGAGCAGAGACGCTCTTAACAACTTGCCAGATCTAACTCTTCCAGCTCAAGGTTCTGCTGACTATCATCTTTCTATAGGAAACGGATCTTTCACTCGAAAGTTAAATAACATTTATTTACGTGAGGGGATCATGGTCCAAGTGGAGAAGTGGTCTCTACGCTTTGTATGAAAGTGAGATTCAACTCCTCCAACTTACTCCTGATCCCTGATTTTCTCCAAACCTTCGTTTTCCGTAGTGAAAGAACAAGAACATCTTTTTAGATATTATAAGGGTCTCTATTGCATATATATATATATATAACGAATGTACAATATAATAATGTATGATATATAATACATACGAATACGTGATATGTAAAGTGCTGGTAGGTCTACATTACCTACGTGATATATTGTATTATAACTGCGTGCGACATTTAACCAGTTAACTGCGTTCGACGAGTATACACTTCATTTTTTGATTTCATTGCGCGCATAATCAGAGATTTCTGAAGTTAAATTCCACAGTTAACAGGTTAGCAACGATTCGTATTATAAAAACACGTTTACTTGCATATAATTTTTATACCGCTCGGAGAATTTCCTCTTACGCATATTTTAATATATATACATATGTAAATATATCAAATGTTTTGATATAGTATTTTTTATATATTTTTGTCTTAACGCTGTAAAATATATTTGCAAACAGTCACCTATAAAGCTATAAATCTCAAAATACTGTAAACCACATAGAACTACTTAAATACGCAAACCATGAATAGAATATTTAATTAGTTAATTTCATTCAAATCAATCGAATAAATTTTTTTTTCAACCGAAACATGTTTTCGTTCCTTTTAGTATCTTTTATTGCGTTTGCTTCGTTTTCTTTAATTTAAATAAATTTATAAACATCGTTATTAAATACACCGAAGATCATAGTAAAATTTAAATTCAGATAATGTAACACTAACAGACCTTCTATCTAAGAAATAAATATTTTATCGAGACATTAGAAATGCTGTATATAAACAGGAAAAAAACACTAGTAGGTATAAAGTAATTTTATCAATTTCCTTGTATCACAAATTTGAAATTTCATGAATGCGTGACAGTTATTAAACAGATTTAACAAAAATAAGTACTGATTGTAAGGTACGCTGATAAGTAAAAGAAGTACTGAACATCGATATTTTATCATCTTACGAGTAATTCGCGAAGTAAATACAATCATATCTATTTCATGTAAAAAGCATAAAAAAATATATAATGTTTCACTAACAACAAGTGATAGAAAATTATCGTCATTCTCTTATCACGAACTGCACTTACGGATATCAGTGAACTATTTCTCACCAAAAAATAATGATTTGACGCGTTTATTTCATACTTGTATACTGGTATAATCATACATATTCAATTTTTAGTACTTTCCTTAATCCTTAGTATCATAATTTTTTTTATTACGCCTGCAAAAATTCCTATCGATGTTCATCCATATGTTACCGTAAGAATAAGTAAAAAATCCCTATCTGCAACAATTTTTTATTTAAATAGAAAATTTTGAATGTAACGTTGTGTCACGCCAATTTTCTTTATCTAAAAGAACAGTTTCGAAGAAATATATTTTAAATTTTTTCAAATTTATTACACATCGACACCATATCTTCAGTAATATTGTTTCCAAATTTTCAAGTAAATTGACATTAATTTCCTTTATTTCTGCCAATATATCTAGTACTTGAAATGCTGGACAAATTGCATCCCCATCTATGGTATCACCGCTTCCAGATTTTAGGTACTCCACGTTTAAGACAACTATATTCCAAAACAAATATTGCATTCCTTTTTTCCGAAAATAAAATTGTTTCTTGTCTTCTACCGTCTTTATCTGTCATTTATTTGTACATATTATATACCCAATATAGATAACATATTTAAATACAATGCAACTCTCACGTCTTGAACCGCGACCACCAAGCTAAAAGTGCACAGGTGCAAGGGGAGACGTCCACTCGCAGCGCTTGGTACGTAGTTATGGCAACAATGACGCCTCAATTTTGGAACGTCCTTGTTATTGGTCGAGTTGCCCAAAAAAGAAAATACTGAAACGTACGTAAAGGTACCGACACTTTGAATATACCCATTCCCACCGTAACCAATTAAACAATTGGTTATAAAATAAAGGTAAACAAATTAGACGATCAATTTTTCTTATTGGAAACAAAAACAGAAGGAAAGATAAAAATGGAAAAACCGATTAATTTGACAATATAGGAATTGATACGCGGTGGCTCGAGTACTATGTTTCCTGGAAGGACGTAGGTGGAGCGTGCGGCCGATTCTCCTTGCCCTTGTGCACTTTTAGTTCTAAGGATTGACTCAGGACGTGAGAGATGCAAGTACTTACTTAATCGTGAGTAGAAGAGTCCCCTTGTCCCTGTGACTTTTCAGCTTATCGATAGTGTGCTAACACTCCTGAGTTGGACAATAGAAGTCTTTATTTTGTTAACGACCAGAGTGTATGCTCTTAGGCTGTTTTTGCACAACACAATAAATACAATACGAAAATAATACAATTTGATTTAATGTTTTAACTGTCGCCTGGATATAAAAAGTATCACAAGCAGCCGAGTTTTTCAAGATACGCGAAATGTTGCGTAATACTTCCTGACCGTTCCCGAGGTTACGAAAACTTGTGTATTGCATTGACGTGCACCGACCGAAAAATACTGAAGGATTTGAAAGCCGTTGCTTTGTGGAATTATGAATAAATTGTGTAATTCCAAAAAATCCGTAATACCTGAAATGTCTCCACAGACGTGAGAGTCTTGTGTTGTTTGGTTTCAAATACAACCATGAATATAAAACAAGGAGACCTCCTTGGCGCTCTTACACCCCTTCAAAAACCTATGTTTACCTTCTTCCCAAAATGTTCTTAGAGGAAGCACAAAATGGAGTGGGTGCAAGAGACTAATGAGTATTCCGAATTTCTAGTGAATTTTCCCTCATCCTCAAAGCCGAGTTCGCGATGGGAGAATTGGGTGTGCTTCGCTGGGGGTGGATAAGGTGAAAAATTTGACAACGACGGGAAATTCCCGACGACTTAAGCCCATGTGCAGGCCTTGCATCGCTATAAGTGCCCATTAATGTCGTCCTAAACCATCTCGATTTATGGCATAGATAATTTCCAGAACATTGAAATAGCATTACAGGTTATTGTATTATATATATTGTATAAAAGAGATCTTTTAATATACATAAGTAAGGATCTATATTTAAAAAACAATTTATGTTCATTATTATTTTTCCTTTTCCTCATGCATTCCCGATAAGTTGATAAAAAATTGTTACAACAAAAGTTAGTCAATGATCAAATGGTAATAAATTGTAATCAAACAAATTGGGAAAATACTTTTTACTTCATAAAAATTTAAGATTATTTGAAGTTTTTTTTAATAAAACTGATATTTTTCATGGGTTGGTAGATTTTTATATACTTTTTAAAAAAGTACTCGAGATCTTAGGTTGAAAATGAATTAGTGTAGGAGTTATTAATTGTATTCTGAAATCCCTTATGGGATAGAACACTGGATCGTGTAAAACCGAACATTTCATGTTGGCAATCAGCAGAACAATCCGTTAAATAACATTCTTAAAATTAAATATATGTAATATTAAATAATAATAAAAAATATCTGCTTAACACGTTCACTACCAGCACCTGTTTTGATAGTAGTTTCCATACTTACAATATTTTGTTTTATTAAATGTAATATATTAGTTTTACAGAAAATCGAGAAAGTGGTGGAAAATTATTATAAATTTTATAATAATGTATAATTTATTTTATACATTATACATTATTATCATCATGCCTACAGTATATAAACTGTATAATGTTTAATCTATATCACTTTTTCGAAACATAAATAAAATTTCAGAATAAAGTCTCGACAATTTCCTACATATTACGTTATGCGTGATGACTTAAGATAAAAGCACGCGTAAAAATAATTTATTTCTCTTTATGATAAACATATAACGGTAATAGTAAACGTGTTAACATACCCTTTAACCAACTTCTATATCAGAGTAATATATGTAATTATATGTACTCACCGCTTCTGGAAGTTCGTGGTACGGTAAGAGGTGCATGTAACTTGCTGCAGACTGTATAGGTAATTGTACCAATCCACATTGTGGTTCAATCCAAATTTCAGAAATAATTTGAAAATCACCAAAGTTTTCAGATTCATCGATGCTTACTTCGCCATCCACCGTACCTGAAATATAGTAAATACGGTAAAGTTCACCACACCTGAATATTTTATAATCAAACTATTAATTTATAAGTATATTTGTCATTTTAGACAAAACTTTCTGCTAAATTTTTGTTCAATATTAAGGAAAGAATAAATTTAAAAAATAAACAGAGATAAAAAAGAAAATTTAACACCTGAGGAAAACTTGAGATATTAAAAAATTAAAAATATATTTTTTTGGCAGTGAACATGTCAAAGTAAATTAGTTTTATACTAATGTTTTTGTTAATAGCATAAATAGAATAATGAATAATATTATTACCTTCGTCAGTATCTTCTTCAGAAACACTATCACGTTCCAATACCGAACTTGATATAACATGCGGTGGAAATAAAATATATTGAATAATACATGGGTAAGATCCATCACTCTTATCAACACCTTGCATTTGTACTTCAAGCACCATATTTAAAATACCTGCTGCTGAATAAGTAAAGTTGAATCCTTCGGCCAAACGCATTCTAGAATAAAAACATATATATTATCGTACTGTTTTATATGTATTAGTTCATCGGAACTAATTAATATGGAATTCTATGAAGTTCTTGCTGTGTAGGACCCCCTATAACACAATTAAAATAATCGTAGCTTTAATGCTTTCACGGCCTGGAATGTTATATTCAAAAATGGCTTTCGGCACAAGAAGTTCGAAGAGACGGTAATATTATCCAGATGTAAAAAATACTTTCCGCAAATACAGGGAATCAATTAAAATCCTGAAACGCCCGAACAACATCAACAAGGACATAGAACATCAATTAAATCTCATTTGGCACTACCTCCGCCCATTTTTTAATTGTTCAGCTGATCAATCAACGAGGTATGTATATAAAGACACATGCCAGTATCAATGTGTCTTTAACCCCTGATGAAGCCAGCTGCAATGATGGCGAAACGTTGGGAACAATATCCTACTGGACACGGCTCTCACCCGAAAACCACTTTTGAATATACGATTACAATAATCGTCAAAAAAGAACTATGAAAGTGAGATTTTCTATAAGAAACTGATACCACTTGTTTAAAGTCATGGTATTCTTGCTATTGTAAAACGCTGATAAATCCTACAAGTTATGAGTGTACATCACAAAGTAATATTTATGTTTTAAAATGAATTTAACAACAATAGTAACACTATATCGTCCGAAATTACTACTTTATTGATATAATACGAATTGTATATCAAAATAATGTAATATAAATGATAAAGTAACAATATACACAGTATGAAATATTTACCTTGAAATTGTGGAAAGAATTCTTGCAATGGCAGTTATGTTCAATCTTGGTAGTGTAATTCCTGGTATGGTTTGCACAAGTGGACGCTTTATATGCCAAAGCCATCGATTGTAATGTAAGTATCGAGATAAACTAGTCGTCAGCATTCCTCCAGGACTTATCACAGACTTTGTTAAATTCGTTTGAGTTCCATCGGGAAATACAATTGAATTCAAGTCAGTTGGCATTCGCTCGTATCTAATTAAAATTCTTTCTAAAGATTTGTGTATAATTGTACAAGAAGGTGTTTCTCTTTGTCCTGTTGGTCTATTTGGTAAAGTTAATTTCGAGAGCCGATCTAGGAGATCGATAACGACATTATGTCGAACAGCACCTTCTGTACCCGCAGCAAACGCAATGTTTAGGATCACGCAAAGACCTTTACAATTAATACGAATCAATGAAAATGAAACCGGAGGTTTCTCCATTTCCTTGTAAATAAATTGCACATATGTATGGTTTTCAACGAGCACAAACGTTGCCCAGCTTTTTAACATGGCATAAAGTACTGCGGCTGCCTGACGACATTGGACGCTCTGAAACCGGCCACTTTGATTTGCTTGATGTAAGTGTTTCGGCAGTGGCCTGTCGTGAGACAAGATTAATGTCACTCTTTGCGTATGCATCCAACGTGCCCATTGTAATGGATTCAAAGATACCACAGGCTGCCATATTTGTCCGAACTGTGGACATGCTGCATCACTATAAACGGTTAATTTTTCTATAATCTATAGAAAAGTTTTTGATTACAATTCAAAATTAATATTCGATGTAAACATACCTAAGTTGCACCTTGCTAGGTGAAGGGTAAGCTGACGAATAAAATACTGGCATGCCGCTTCTAATTGTATCTGGTACACTGTACCAAGTCCAGCCAAATTCAGGAAACCAACTGAAATGAGCAAGCATAGCATCGCTTTCTGTTAATGACGTTAGTGCGGCCCAAAAATGATTTACGACACTCTGCCGATATTGTGATTTTAATGGCTTTTTCGATGAACATGTAATATCGTGAAGAAAATCATATGGAGCTGAAACAAAATACTATTTTTCTTATATATTATTCTAACATGTTCTGGTAAATGTTTAAATGTGTGTCCCCCTCATCAATTTTAATGAGCATGAAATACGTTATCAAGGCCGCAATTCTAAACAACTTTTTACTATACATATAATAGGCGGTCTCTATTAGTTTTCGAGATATTTACAAAAATATCTCTGAGAAAGGGGAGTTATTGTAATTATTTTAAAAAGGGACATGTTCTTGTATGGCCTTCATTGTGCCTAACATTTCACATTTTTTGCCACTGATTATTGGTTTAAAAGTTACAAAGCATTAAAATTTCGCATTACGTTCGAATTTTTTACCTACACCTTCATTTATTGATGTTGTTTTTTACAATGTGTACACAAGGATTACATATATATAATAGAGATTGGTATTAAGAGACCTATGTAATTCTTTCAGGATGGAGTACAGTGTTACCATGTAACGAAGAATATTAAAATTTGACATTACTCTTATTTTTAAAGAATACTTAAAGAAGATATCTAATAATATAATGGCATTCCAACTTACCTTCAATAGTAATTGTATATTGTATTGTATTAGATACAGATAATGATTTTGTGAACCAAGGGCACATCACTACATACTCCAATGAAACACTAGACTTCCACAGCAACACAAAACAGATTTCAAGCATATCGTCTCTTACATTAGCTCGTTTTATTAAATATCCTTCTCGAAGCCGACAACATAGTAAACTGCTTAACGTACATGTGACTTTATCTTCTATTTGCTTTTTCTGTAGAAGTTGAGTAGACTTTTGTTCGTAAAATAATGTGTTTTTAGATTGCCAATTCGGGTAATATGGCAAATCATCACAAAGTACTTCACGGTATAACTGCCACCATAAAAAATTTTTATGGTAAGTATTTACTTCTGTTTCATCTAAATGTGCCTGTAAAAATAAAAGGTTATTTCATAAGTTATCCATATTTGAGTAACAAAACATTTTATAAAAAACATATACTTTCATAAAATGGTCTGAAAATTGTAAACATTTTGGAGATAATTGTGCAAGATTAAAATGGCAATAAAACAACAGGATTAGCTCATAGTTTTCTTTTGACTCCTACCTGTATGTAGGTACTTTACAAATACATATGTTTTACTTAAACACATACCGTGTCTTTCTTGGACAACATAACATTAAACATAACGTTAATAATACTTTTGCAAATCTTCACAGATATCTCAAAAACTGTAAGAGACCACTGATGAAACTATTAGGAAAAGTTATTCAAAATTGTGCTTTTAAGAATACATACATAGAAATCAAGGTCATTGGCATGACGTATCTTAAAAAAATGATTTACCTTAACGTCTGACAGTAAGAAACAAACATCAATGACCGCATTGCCCGAAAAAAACCCTTCATTCATTCAAGTTTCAAGAATATATGAATAAAGTTAGAAGAAAATCTGACAATAAACCACAGGTATAAACATACCGCTTATGGGGCTTACATAATTTTTAGAAGTTATAGATCAACACGACATAAATTCAGCAGGTATCGCAATCATAGCATTTTACTTCACGTTAAAACACAGTTTGGGATACAAGTGTTTCATAGTGAATAGTAATTTTATAAATTTGTGAAATATGTCTACTGAAAGGACCGAAACCAGTACAACTGTGAGTTGATAAAGGACAGTACAGCCGTGATAAAGAATAATACAAGATCTATATGTTTTTTCTCTGTCTACAGAAAAATAGTTATGATACCACCAAAGATATGCCATAATTTATTTTTAAAATAAGGTTTGAACATTCCTAAAAATCCTGTTGTATTTTCCTACGATAATTTGCGAATTTTTGAGATTAGAATAATTATATAACTAATATATAAAAATATTACGTACAACACGTGGTATGAAGGACATGTAAGTGCCTAAAGTAGCTCTGGCAATGAAAAATAATAGATCTTGATATGGAACTAAACCATCAGCAGAGTGTGGATGGTACGTACTTCCAACATGTAGGAAACTACATGCAACTGTTGTTGCACGTAATTGCTGAATAACAGAATCTAACACATGAACATCACTAGTTCCTATAATACCATCGGACACAATTATCATATCTAAAAAAGAATAAAATTACAATTAACTTTACAGGTAACATTATAATTTCGAGATGCGACGAAACATACAAATTCCTCCTACATATTTAACAAAGATTACTCCAAAAAGTGCACTGTATTATCTATTGACAACGAAATCATAATTTTTAATAATCCTGAAAAACACGAGACGATGCATCGCTAGTTAAGACTTTCGACGTAGCCAAAGCAAACAATAATGGAAGTGAAGAACAAAAGTGAAATTTTCAGTATCGTTCCACAGTTGGAAAATATTAATGTCTCCCATACAACGAAAACTATGGCAAAACTTAATGATGAAAAATTAAAAGATGCTGCCGACTTATGATTTTCGCAAAAAAGAAGCCAAAGACAACTTACTTCAGGATCTCACGTATGTGAAAAAGCGATATAATTCAAAACGATACAATACAAAAGTTAAAATTTTACGTTGGTATAAGAGAGCTTGAAGTTCAAGGAAAAGCTTTATCGGATAATGTTTCGCAAGCGGAAGCATTTGAAAAATGTTTTCAAATCATTCATAAAAATGTTTGTAAGTAGTGATAGGAAAGTCTAAGAATGCAAGCGGTTTTAAAGGTGGTACATACCTACTAGTAAATTATATGGCACAGGAAAAAGCTTCAGCGGATGAAAATATTTTTTTGATATAGAGAGTTCGTCCGGATAACATGTCAAGCGGATGAGATGATTCCTTATGACAAAATAAGAAAAGAATATAAAATGAAATTTCTTTGTCCGATGCTTAATTTTCGAAAAAATCGAATTTGAAAATTTACGATGTCTTACGGGTGCGCGAGTTCTTGAATGGAGCGGTTCGACTGTAAGGGTCATCATCGTGTAAAACTTAAAATGCATTAACACATTGATCATCACGAGGATTTGGAACATTTTGTATAACATTACTAGACTGCGGATTATCATGCATTTTTGGGAAATTGGGAAGTATAAAATTGCACAGAATGCATACAGCACAAAAAAATATATAAAATATCTAAAGTGTAGTGTTTTTCATAACATTTGTTAAAGAAAACCATCTTCTATTGTAATTCTGCTTTTCTAATTACATTCTTGAAAATTTGAATCTGCATAAAAATCCGCAATCTAAACATTACTTATCGTTTCAGAACAAAGGTAAATGGTATTAGAATTAGTTATTAATGGTTTGGTATCACAGTTCTTAAATTATACTATTATTAAGATACTTATGTTAATATGTTAATATCGCACACCCCCCAGTATAATACGAAAATGTGTTATAATGTTAAAAAGATAGAACAGTGAAATTTGAAAAATATGTTGTATGAAGGTACTGACTTAATATGTCTACACATTCAGAGCTTTAAATTACGTATTTTAAAAACGCAAACTCTAAACGACTAACCGACTTTATAAACTAATACGAGGAATTTGTATAAAACGTCTGTCTGTTAACAGTAAGTATACATAAACAAGTACAAAATGTGGAAAAAACTTACGTGCGCAACTGTGTTCCGGTAGAAGCGTCAGCGCTAGCATACCATACCGCAACATATTTACAAATGTTGATTCGGGAGAAATTATAGAAGTATTTGCAGCAGAACTACCACTATTTTTATTTAAACAGGTGCTGCTTTCTTCAAAGAGTCCTCCCACTAAACGTTCACTTTCCGCCCGTTGATTTTCTAACTGTTGACTAGCAATAGCAGTAACAGATGCAACCTTTTCTTCTAGTATATTAAGCTGTTTTTCTATGAGATTTGTCAATTGATTAACATTGCTTGTAGTCACTAACCAACCTTGTACCAAAACTGGTTGTGCAGGACTTATGAAAAAAGGTGTGTGAGCTATTACAGTCACATAAATTTCTGGTTGCATCTTTCTGTTACTTCCTGGAATGATAAACTGCAAAAATAATAAAAAGATACATAAGCTAATGATTATTAAGTAAAATGATTTTCATCTGATTTTATAAATAAATTTACTGTGTAATTTCAAATTATTATTCACTTGAAATAAAAAAATAATTACAATTATAACTGTAGCATCACTTCGAAATGCCCACAAGTATCATTAGAGTAAATGAATAGTATTTTTTCGCAGTAGAGAACTATATTTCAAGAAATGACATTCTGTTTTATTACGAGTCATATTACAACGGTGATCAATATTTCCACAAAATAAGTAACTCGTCTTATTTAAGGTCCAAATTATCGAAAAATTTATACCCGTTGTGTCCCACGAATACTGACGAGTAGAAAGAGAGAACGATGCATCGAATTGGATCAAACGCAAACTTTTAAGGCCCAATACCCACTACCAGTCTAATCTCGTGTATTTCGGGATTATCTCGGAAACTAGAGATTTCTGTGAATTATGTCTAAGGAAAAGTTGTCTAAAATCATGCCCTTGATAACATATTAAAAAATCATTGAAATCGAGAAGTGTTGATATACCAGAAACTAGCCCAACAATATATTGGAGTTAGTATTGTCTGTGACAGGAAAGAAATTTTTCTTACTTTCAATAATAGCGGAAATAATTTAAGTGCTCCAGTTAAAATTAACATCCTGTATATAGCATGGTAATTGTTATACGTAACATATTATGACATTACATAGAACATTTTCAGTGGTTTTCTAAAGCGTAAGGGATAAAGACACTGAGGGTACACTAATGCTTCATGATTTAGCGACCGTTCTCTTCGTCTCACTTCGTCCGCAAACGGTTCTTCGCTCTATTTGTCGTACGACCCGATCAGTGTGCGTAAGTGCCTCAGCGAATGATATACCAGAACCGAAAATCCGTGTGAGCAAAGCGTACGCTTGCAATCTGACTACTCAGACGAGAGTGCCAGGTCCGCTGCAACGGACAGTACTATATATGTAAAGATGGAAAGAAGTCTCCTAGCAGGAATGCGGGTCTGAGTAGCCAAACTGGAGAGGGTACGGTTTTCCTCTCACAAATTGTCAACTGGCATACCATAAATGTCAGAGGTGGGGATAAGTAGTCTTGCCCAGAAATATCTCTTACCCCTGTCGTCGTAAAGTACTTTCCATGCAATAGTAAGGTACACCGAATTATTCACATAACCATGAATTTATGTGCGAAATGTACTGCGAATAATAACTGCTGGAAGCCGATCTACAGATATATGGCTAAAAGTTTCTCACACTCATTGAGACCGACAAAGACTTTAATTCAATTTCAAGGAATGAGTAAAAATTTAGGAGAATAGTGTATGTCTCAATATGTACAATAAACCACCTACTTAAACTACTTACTTACTTAAATTATTACTTACAGGTTTGATAATACCCTCCAAGAAATGTTTTGTTGCTACACACACCTCGTCTATAACAATTTCACCATGTTGTATATCCTGAAATAACGCATACCGTACACATCAATTAAAACTTTTGGACAAATATATTTATACCTACGTAGTAAATTGGCAATATATTGTTTTAGCAATCTTAATAAAATTTTTGCAAAATTTGAATTAAACTAACAAATTAAATCGAAAATTAAATAATTACATTTTTATCTTCGTTCGTGTAAATAAGGAGAAAATAAAAAAATTAATAATCATCGCTTCAGGAAATGACTCTATAGACCAAAATCGTTTTATATCTTGAAAACTATTTGTTTATGGTGTATAACTTCTTTTGAACTTTTTGTCTTCTTGTCAGGTAAAATACATGAATGCTGAACAGAATTTAACAACAATTTTCAAAGCTATAAATACTCACTGAAGTCATGATCACCAATATGTTAGACTCTGTAACTTCCAAACCTCCCATTATCGAAAATCATTTTAAAATAAAGTAGGTCTTTCAGATATGTAGGGGAGAGTAAGGTAAAACGCAACGCTTTTCTTTGAATCGTAATAACAAAACATCTTGAGCAATAGACGCATGAAACCTTTTTTGGAAGTCTTAAGCAGACCTTTGGCTATAAGGAAATAAAAGATTTTTTAAAGAAAAGTATGTAATTACGAAGGGAAATACGATTTTCCAAAAGTATTGAAATATCCGCTTCGTGAAAATGGTAGGGTACAACGGAACACCCATTTAAAGTCATATAAAAATACAAAATCTTTATTTCTACCAAATGAAAATTATTAACCAACATAAATAAGCCATATGTGTATGTTATTTCATAAACAAAAATCACAAATGAGTATATCATTTTGCTTTTTTGTACTGGTGTAATCTTCATGGATCGACCCTTGACATTGTACGTACTGAATTCATTCTTCTTTTATTTTTAAATGAATAAAGTTCATTACAAAACATACATCTATCAGTAGATGAATTTATGTTATCTTCTTTTTATTTTCTTTCTGGGAATGCCTTTTTTGTTTTACTTTTCTTCGTTTTGTTGTTTTAGGACCGCTTTTTTCATTGCTCGTTTCGAGTTCTGCTACATAAGCAAGTGACGTTAAAATAAATAAAATAAATAAATAAAATAAATTGTACATCAGCGATCTGCGGTCGAAACACAGCTATATTAACTAACTCGTGTCCCATCGAATTTCGAGCGATCCAAAAACCAAAAGAAAACTCACACAAACATTTATTTACATACCCTCACTCTTCGCAACTTATTGTTAGATGCACCACACACACGTAGAAATACATTCGTACCCTTCCTACAATAATTAGAGACATTTCCATTCTTCTCTACACATAAGGCGTTCCGTTTTGCTCCAGACTAAAGTGTTCTGTTTTGCCCCACGTGCCATAATTTGGAAAGACTGTTAAATCTACACTTCAACGTGAGGTAAAAAAACGACTTGAATGTGAAAAATGCAGCTTAAGAAACGTAGAATCTCATATTATACGTATCGTTTTTAATTTTTTAATCGAAAGTTTAAAAAAATATTTGAAACAGCTATATAACATCGAAACTTTTTCACTGAATATATTTCTAACCCTCTGAATTGAAAAATAAGTTGTGCTTTGATCTGCAGTCGATCACAAATTATATTGAGGATTTATTAAATTTATATTATGCAATACAAACTTGATATGAGCTTCTTATTTATAAAAAATATTGGTGTTCCGTTTTATCCTACTCTCCCTTACTACATTTTACATTACTTAATCGAATATGCTTAAAAATATCAAGACCTTATTTATCTTATTTATCTAGGGAAATTAAAGTAAATTTTCTTGTAGACTTTAATGTCATATATATTATTTTTAAAGAATTTATATGTAATTCGGACATTTACAGTAACATACAGTACCGGACAGAGACAGTTTCTTCCCGCTGGTTTTATTAATTACTAATAGAAAAATAAATGAAAAATATTGTTTTTAGTAATGTATCCCAATGTCGTTCTTTTAATAAGACGCTTAACTCTTTTCATAACTGATTTCTTATTTTCCAATTAAGTAAATAATTTTGTTGCATTATGTATATTATTTCTAGAGTATTAGATACATATACATGCCCCAATTTTCGAAATTTGCTTCGTATATAAATAAAGAAGTAAAAGAAAAGTAAACCCATTATTTTTATACTTTTTAAATTAAACAAATAATTACTTATAATTTGGAAATATTAATTTTTCGACACATATCTATTTGAACTCTTTTTCTACTTGGTAATTACTACTTTTCCTTATGTACCTTTAATAGGATTAATACGTCATAATAATATCTATCATTTGAAACTAAATTCGATTTATTACCAGAACGAACTGTTGTTATTCAGTAATCTTAATATAAATATAAACATACATAAGACTGAATATCATATTAATCAATGAAATATGTAGTATTTAGATGTACATGATACTTACAACAGTTGCAAGAGAAGGACTCAGGTCTAAATTAAGCACCATTCTGTATTTGTGCGCCAAAAATGTTATTGATGTCGTTGATGTCACTTTATACAGAAACTGATGACTTGTTTTAGCTGACCAAGATTCGGGTTTATTTTTTGGCAACACAGATACAATTTCCAATTCCTCTGCTTCCCTCTGTTTGGAAGTTTGACATTGAATACTTATCACCGTATCTAAATGTTCTAACATCCACTGAGCCCTCACATTTCGGGATATAGGAAAACCTTTTTTCATTAGCAAAAAAACAGTAGTTGCTTCTAAAACGGTTTTTTCCTATAAATGAAAAAAGTTATATGAAATCAGTTATGCTATAAATGTAGGTAAAAACAATCTAAAGTAATAAATAGAAAAACACAAGTTCTTACAATTAATTTAACAATATTTAATGAACTTGTCAAAAGACTACTCTCTCATGGATTTTAATAATTTTTAAATACGTAGTCTGAGCTTGGTTTTGTTACAACTAAATGATTTCTCTCTATTTCTTTTTTTTATTTAAATTAAAAATCAACATTATGCACAACTTTTTCTTCTAACAAAAAAAGTCAAAGAAAGACAAAACATGTTCAAACTGGTGTTTAATTCGAAAGTGTATCGCACTAAATTTTATACGTAAGGCTATGTAAACAACTTATGCTACCTTTCAAATTCATGAAGGAAGGTCAGTTTGTTTGTCACCATGGCATTACTAAAAGAAGCCATGAATGCATAGTTAAAAGCAAAATTTAATGTCGTGTTGATTATTGTTTTTCCCAAATATTCCGAAAACTGAAAAGCTTATTTAAAGGGTGATTTCTACAACATATTTAAAAATTAAGGAAATCAGTAAAACAGTAGCTTTTTATCAAGTTCATTCAATACTTTGATTGCAAGTACGGTCCACAACTCAGGAGAAAACGATGGGAGGAGTTTAATGAATAATTAAAGTTGAAGGGGACACATCTATTGCGTCACACATTTTTTACAGCTTTCACACTTGGCCGATCATCTCAAGCTAAGAGAGCAGAGGGGCAAGGGAAAACGTCCACTCGCGATGCTTGGCCCAGTAGTTATGGCAACAGTGACGCCCACTGTGGCGAAACAGGGGAAATTGAGGGGAATAGAGTTACTCTCTCATTGGAGTTGTCCGCTGTTCTACGCTGGTTGTGGGGGTTGTTAGGGGATGCCCACTGACGAGAATGGAATTGTAGAAGGACAGGACAGAGTGGGAGACAAGTCTTGATTTGGCCACACTGGTGATGCTTCAATTTAAATGCGATGTATTGAGATGTTCGAACATCAGCGATGGATTTCTTTTCTGTTCGACGGCGTCTTTTTATGTTTACCGAATCTCAGGGATGCGGAAGCTCAGCTACTATATTTCCTGAAAGAACCAAGGTGGAGGGTGCGACTCCTTGCCCCTGTGCATTTTTTAACTTGGTGATTTTCACTTAAGACGTGAGAGCTCCACTGTACAATATTCTCGCGATTAGTACCGAAAAATCGGGACTGCAACCGAACACTAATCGTGCAGTAGTGTTGATTTCAAGTCGAAATAAGATTCGAGTCGAGCTCTTCCGTTTGTCCTTTGTAGAAAACGACAACGCGAATAATAGAGCAAGAGATCCGAACTTCGGGACGATCGAATCAACAGATGAATGAAGGGATATTAATGCAATGTTAAACTTCTTTATTTTTCACTTTTATTTACTGATACTTTTACCAATTGAATTGTAGGGGTTTTCTCACTAAATGAGTCCAAACATGATATACTTTAGAACATATTTACTTATTTAATAAATTACAATAATTAATTTTCTCTTAGTAAACTGTTATTTAAAGTATGTCATGTTTGATCTTGTTTTAATCATAATACTCTCACAAATGCGTTAGTAAAAGTTTAATTTAAAGAAAAGACACTCATAACTCATAAAAAAGTTTCATCGTCGAGCTTCGTGGTTTACTGGGGGAACTCGCGCCTCAGCAGTGGGGTGGACTATCGTGCACTAATGCTGCAGTTCGTAGCTGGTACATACTAATCGCAAGAATACTGTATTCATTTCCGAACCGTAATTCCTTTCAAATTATTCACTTCCGCAATGAGAACCACAATAGAACACAATGCAACAATAAAAAGTTTTAACTCTTATTATTAGGATCAGAATAAAATTTGTGATTACACTTTCTTAGATACTTTTCCATCAAATCGAAGGTGTAGACTCAAGCTACTGTGATCGCGACATCTTATTTTGGGACACCCTGTACAGTGTGTCCGGTTTATTTGTGAAGATCAAAGTATCTTAAAATATATGAATTGATACGAGAAAATATTTTAGAAGAAAGTTACATAGTATAAAGGAGTCGCATATGGTAATATTATACATTTGACCTTGCAGTAACCTTGAAGTATTTTGTGACGATCAAATAAAAATTTTTAAGTTCGAGCAAATCAGTTATATAAGTATACAAAATACTAACGAAAAGTGTATTTGTTGAGACATGTTAAACTTAATAATGATAAGAAACATAAATTAAAATTGTAAGAAAAAATAAATACATATAGGGTAACAGCATCTAATATGGTACACCATAATACTTCGAAAAATAAATTTTAATACATCGCAGGGGTGTCGAACTGGGAGCTCGCGAGCTCTATAGTAATTTCCTCATTTCAAATCGTTATAAAAATATTTTGAGAATACTTTACACTAGAATATACAAGGAAACAATTTTGAGGTAGTCTTCATTTTATCATTTTTTTACTCAAACATTCTTTGAATTTTTATAGTATTTAATATTTTATTTAGAATGGATGGAAACTAGTTCTCAAAGTGAGCGAATCTCAATTTTTTATTGAAGCTCCCAATTTCAGTTCCTAAAGTAATATTATAGTAGCTAAGGCAATATTGTAGTCAGATGATATAGTACTTATCAAAGTAGTATTAGTACAGGTAGTTTCCAAAATGACTGTGAATTTAAAATGTATGTATCAATGACTGTCTATTTCAAATGTATTAAATAAATGCATATAATTTATAAATCTCATCCTTATTAATGGTAGATCAATTGCAGCAAAAATTATGCATAACGATAATAAATCTTCCTTACAACTTCGATCTTTCCCTTTTCAAACTCTACTAATTTTAATACTATATACTAAATTGAACCAAAAATGATACTGTGTGATCATATTATATTTATAACTAATTAACATAGTTTACAATGAAACGGTTACTACTTACTAACTCAATGAATTATTCTTATGTATGATCTATGAAACATTAATGTTTTGTGATTTATGACACAACATAATTTTTTAAAATTTAAATTGCTTTTCATATAACATTCACTGTCATATAGTTATTAAAAGAAATATAATCTATACAAAAAAGCTTTTGATCCACAATAAAGAAGTATGCATTGATTCCATAAATGACTAAACACTGCACTGACAATGAAGTTCTTAATCCTATATATGTATCCACATGTTACGCGTATAACTGGAATAATACATTCATCGATTTAACTTTTTAAATTTATGTATTGCTTTTCTTAATGTAAAATGCTCAACATCACATATAAATACTTACAAAATTATGAAGATTATAGAATTGAAATTATATAATGTTCTGACATTAACATAACTTATTATAAATTCCTAATTATTATGAATGCTATTTATTTAGTCTTCATAAATATAAGTTATCTACATATTTTTATAATATTTTATACAGATTTTTAAAATTTAATGATAACATTATGAAACCTATATGTACAATACCAGACACTGTATTTTAACAGGAAAAAGTACCTGTGTATAAATAATAAAGTGTATATATAAACGAATACAATAGATAAACAAACAATTTTTATTACCTCATCTTTTGCTGAAGCCATGTTATTGCCGACTTGTATATTTATATATCAGCAGACACTACTTTCAACAAAATACATTACTGCACTATAAATATTATTACAACGTTCAAAGGTCGTGTTATTATTTATTTCTTCTATCATTATCATATGTTCACCACAAATATAACATAACCTTAAAATATTTAGAACACAATATCATTAAAGTTATATGCTGTAATAAACAAGAATGACTATATTTATAAACTATTGGGTTCAAATCAAGGACTTTTATTAAAAAATATACCTCAAAAACAATAAAAGGAGAAAAAATATAGAAGCGTAGTTATAAATTTTAAATAACTATGTTTGGCATTAAGATATTTACATTGTATTGCTTATATTGATATTTATATAAGTTTAAGAAATGTGGATAGGTCTTATTGCTTAGAACAAGGATTTAAATAAGTATTTAATGAAGCCTTTTTCCTCCCTCTTTTTTTTCGGTATACATTTTAAGAAACAATATACCCATCTATATCGTGATATTCAATGGTTTTTATAACTGCACCACAGACGAGGTATAAGGATAAACATTACAAACTTACGGGACTTTGTGTCATATGTTCTAGATTACCGGCTGTGTAAAAAATCAGAGGTTTCGCTCTGCCCTCTCCGTCTAGAGAATGATGAATAGGAAAACTACAAACCAGCATTTAAACGTCACAGACTTAAGTTATCTGATTTCCGTTAACAAATCTAAAATTTTGTATTATCGGTAACGTCGAATGCGACACCAAAATGGTACGTGGGTCTTCAGCCCCGGAAAATCTATATATGTACACAAAACTTTCTATAAGCTGCAACGTCTGTACATGCTTAAATCTATATTAAAATATTTTTTATTCCAATTCCTATCACTTAAGCCGGACTAAGTCGATACGACAGGACGTGACACGGAAATGGTAAGGGGGTCCTGTGACCCCGAAAGCATATGACAAAATTTTACATTGCACGTTATGTCTATCCTATACCTCATCTATGACTGTACCATAGACGAAATAATTTACTTAGATCGTATCTACTTATAGACCCGACTTCAGATAACTGCTTTGAAATCAAGATAAAATCATGTATATGTTTAAAATTTAAAGTTACTTTATATCATATAAACATAGGAATGCAAATGTATCAGGAATAAATAAACTAATGAGGGATCTGTTACATGTTCAAATACGTCGCCATTATGTTCTACTTTTAAGTTGAATTTATATGACATTTTATTTCATTTGAAAGTGATATGTTATCGTTAATTTAAGTAATAAATATGTTTCATACGGTGAATAAAATAATAAATAAATGCTATTAATTATAATGCAATTTGTAAATATCTCAATAATGTATCTCACATACTTATTAAGTTCTTGACATTATGAACGGATCATAGAGTATTATGATATTGAAAAGAATCCTTATTTTAGCCAATAACTTTCGAGTGATTGAAGTGAAGTAGATGATTACGAATTTGATTATTAATTTATTCAGCTGATTTTCATTTTTTGAATTTAGAATCGATTAATTTTTATATTTGACTTGTGATAAATCTCGCATCTTTTAGAATGATGTGAAACTGTGTGAATCATACATACATCACATGTACGTTTACATTTTGTGTGACAGCGGAAGGACGCTGAATTTTACATTTATCAAATATTAATGTGTTGCATTCACATTTGAATTAAATTTCATTAAAGGTAACAAATATTTCAGTTTTATAATCTTATAGTTATTGCAGAAAGATTTAGAATGTTATGTTTTCCTATTTCTATGTATTTGATATTGCCACTCCCTAACTTCGCGTGGATGTTATAAATGTTTTGGCGATAATATGAGAAAATTTATTTCTCAAAATTGTTTCGTAAGGGTGGCGTTTTAGCTTTGTAGAATATATTCTATAAAAATTTAATATTCTATTGAATATAATTATGAACTTTAATTATTAAAGAATTAAAAATAAAATAATTATGGTACATATTAACATAAAATGTTATTTAATGTTTTGTTCTATTTTTCTTTAATCTTGTTCAATAAATTTTTAATTAATTATTGCATTTATTTTTGCACTCGTTAATTTGTACTATAAATTATTGAATTCAGTAAATAATATGGGATACTAAGATATTATTATATGATTACAGGGAATGTAATAACAATACTTATTAAAATACATGTAACAATGTATCATACACAAGTTATTTTAGCATACATCCTAGTTTTCTTAACTAGTGTATTCTCTGAAAATATATTATATGGAGAAATAGATTATCAATGTCCACAACATTGGATAAAATTTGGAGAATCCTGTTATCGTTTTATAAAAAGCCCTATTAGAGAAAGAGAAGAAGCTAGAAAAAATTGTCAAGCTTATCAGACTGAACTTTTAACAATTAATTCCGTGGATGAACATGGATTCATTTTTAATCAATTACAATGGCAAGATCCTCAACACCGTAAATGGTACACAGGTATTAAAAATCAAAATGGAAACTGGATAAATGAAGGTGATAATACTCAGTTGGTAAATATGGATAATGCATTCTTACCTGAACCAAATGATAACACAGTCAGTAGAGATTATTTGGTATATTCTTATCATAATAATTTGCAACGTTGGGGATTAGAAAAGGTAACAGGCAGAGAGAAGCTGTTATATATTTGTGAAGCTCCAATTTCTACTTTGCATAACTTAGTAGAAGATGATCGTACTTATCAGTATGGTATTGAAATTGATAATCCTAATCAAATACCTAGAGGACCATATTTTATAAAACAACCTATAGATAAAGTATTTGATGTGTCAAAAAGGAAAATTAGTAATGATGTTTCATTGAGTTGTCTCGCAGGTGGTTACCCTGCACCAACATACGAATGGTTTAAAGAAGATTATGAAAATGACAGATTAATTGCAACGAAAATAGATCCATTAAAAAATGTCCGATATACTGTTAGCGGTGGTACATTAATTATTTATGAACCTGATCAGGTAACTATATTTTATATATTATAAAATAATGATATAATAATGTATGTAATGTATGTTTATACGATAAAGGTAAATAATACTAAGAATAGTAATTAATTATTTTTAGACAACAGATAGAGGTTCATACCACTGTAAAGCTACAAATAAGTTTGGTACAATTATATCTGAAAGTGTTGAATTATCATTCGGTTATATATTGGAATTCAATTTAAAACGTTCAGAAGAACGTGGAGATCAAAATTGGGGTAAAGCTGTGTATTGTGATCCTCCTCAACATTTTCCTGGCGTAAAATATTATTGGGCACGTGATTATTTTCCTAATTTTGTGGAAGAAGATAAACGCGTCTTCGTTTCTCATGATGGAGCACTATACTTTTCTGCATTGGAAATGATTGATCGTGGAAATTATTCTTGTAATGTTCAAAGTGTTGCGTCTGACACTGGTCGCAATGGACCATTCTTCCCAGTGAGGGTTGATGCACATTGTAATTAATTTTTTCTTATAGTTGTTTGCTGTAAGAACATACTAAAAAATATTCAATATTTTTATTAGTCTTTCTTTTGCAGCTTCATTCCAACAATTAAAATTTCCCAATAATTTTCCAAAAGCATTTCCAGAAGCACCAATTGCTGGAGAAGAAGTTAGACTTGAATGTATTGCATTTGGATAGTAAGTGTATTTAATTTCATTATACTGTTCTTATTTGAGTTAATTCAATTATGGATATACAATTATTATTTGAAACATACTTTCTAAAGAAAGATGTTCTAATAATTTCAAATAAGTTTTTTGTAAATAGTTAGTACTTAATACTGAATGTTATTGTGATTTTAATACTTAAACGTTTTTTTATTTCTATTACAATTTACTTACATATTGATCCTAGCTTTAGTCAACAAATATTCATCTGAATTATATATTAGCCTTTGTCAATATTATGGCATCATATTTCTGCCATATTATGAGTTTTCTGTATCTGTTTATGTATTTATTAGTTTTCAGTTGAAAATACATAGGTCATTAATATTTAAAACAATAACAAAGATTTATTTGTTTTTCATTATGGCATTGTATAGGACTAAAGAAGCACAATTATATAAGGAAAATACTATATTACTAAGTAATTAAAAGTAAAATGTGATTTAATTTTATACAGCCCTGTTCCATCATATAATTGGACGAGAAGAGGTGCGCCATTACCACGTGGAACACATACAACTAGTTATAATCGAGTATTAATAATACCAAGAGTTCATGTTGATGATCAAGGGGAATATATCTGTAGAGCTCAGAATGACAGATTATCAATTGAAAATTCTGTTAGACTAACTATACAAGCAGCTCCAAATTTCACCATTCCATTAGTGGATAAGCACATGGATAACAGAGGGGAATTAACTTGGACATGTGAAGCATTTGGAATACCAGATGTAACTTATAGTTGGTTTAAAAATGGCGAATTATTGGATATGGAAACTTTGCATTCTGACGATAAAGATCGTTATTTTATACAAGATAATGTCTTAAGTATAAAGCTACTAAATCCAGAAACAGATCCAGCTATGTATCAATGTCGTGCAAAGAATCAATTGAAAACAAAATATTCATCGGCTCAACTCAGAGTTTTATGTAAGTTATTACAAAATTTCGCTCAAATCTAATAAAATTTTAATATTATTTATATGTCATAACGGATCTAATTTAATAACTTTTGGTTCACGTTATATAAAGTGTTTTACTAAAAATTAGCACTTGATTGTTATTTAGTATTTAATCATATGAACAGGGTGCCAGGAAAAAAAAATGTAAGACAGTGTACACAAAACTCTGAACAATTTATTTTGACTTTCCATGGTTCATTGTTATAGTTAAAATTAAATCATACCTTGCTTTAATTGTACACTCAGTCACTCAGTTTTTAATGAATACATCATTAATTAAAATAGTAAACTGTGTTTTATATATTTGAAGTATTTCAAAATTCATTAAAATTTGAAAGAATTTATGGAGTGACTTAATGCTTGAATTTAAAATTATCAAACGTATGAAAAACATATAATACTCCTAGTATATATTTTTCAAATTATAGCATTAAAACCATCATTTAAAAAACGACCTATGGAGCCTGAAACATATGCAGCAGAGAAAGGTAATGTTACAATTTTCTGTAATCCTGAAGCCGCACCAAGACCAAAATTTGTTTGGAAAAAAGATGGAAATGTAATCGGTTCTGGCGGTAGACGGAAAATTTTAGAAACTGGTAGCCTTATAATTAGTCCAGTTTCTAGAGATGACGAAGGTACTTATGTTTGTACTGCAACAAACCAATATGGAACTGATGAAACTCGTGGACGATTAATAGTATTACGTAAGTTAATTTTACTTATAATAATATATTTCTGACACTTATTTTATTACATTACATTAAATATTTTAATTTTATGTATAGATGGTCCACAATTTGTGGAAAAATTACCACAACGCATAATCACAGCAGTAATGCAAAATCAGACCTTACGTTGCATGGGAGATATAGATGAGATGTTAGATGTTGCTTACATCTGGAAGCATAATGGTTTACGTATCAGGGATGAAGACTTAATAGCTAATCCAAGATTACATATTGATGGCGAAGAACTTAATATAATAAATGCTACATTTGCAGAAGGGGGAGAGTATGAATGTATAATTACAAGTGCTGTAGGTAAAATTTCTAGCAAGACAGTAGTGACAATAGAAGGACCACCAGGGCCACCTGGAGGTGTACAAGTTGTAAATATTGTAAAAACTTCCACAACTTTACGTTGGACAGATGGTGCTTTAAATGGTAAACCCATTACAATGTATACAGTTAGCGCAAGGACAAATTGGAATCATACATGGTTTAATATTATAGAAAGTATGTAAAAGTTCATAATATAGTTATTAAAAATTCTGTATCACTATGTTATACCATATTAACATGTACATATTATTTTAGACATTACTGCCATTGAAGTAGACAGATATAATGGCAGAAAGGAAGCATATTTAGAAAACATTTTAAATCCTTACACCACGTACTCATTTGCTGTATCTGCCTACAATGAACTAGGATATAGTTCACCTTCATCACCTTCTCCACAGTACAGTACACCATCTGATAAACCAAATAAAATACCATCTAATATAGGTGGAGGAGGAGGAAAAATTGGAGATCTTACCATCAGATGGGATCCTTTACCATCCTCAGATCAAAATGGTCCAGGAATTTATTACAAAATTTTTTGGCGCCAGAAACATCATGAAACTGAATTTCAGTCATTGTCCTTGAAAGAATATGGCAATGTTGGCAGAAGTGTTGTTCAAATATCACCACAATATTATTACACAGAATATGAAGTTAAAGTTCAAGCAGCTAATGCATTAGGTTTTGGACCAATTTCTGATGCAGTTACTATATTTAGTGCAGAAGACATGCCACAAGTAGCTCCACAACAAGTTGTTGCGCATAGTTATAACAGTACTAGTTTGAATGTTAGCTGGTCAGCAATTGAACAAACGCGGGAAAAAATACGGGGCAAGTTAATAGGTCATAGAATAAAGTACTGGAGAGAAAGTAATCGAGAAGAAGATGCAGTATACTACTTGTCTCGAAGTACAAGACCTTGGGCTCTAGTAGTTGGTTTGCAAGCTGACACATACTATTATGTCAAAGTAATGGCATATAATTCTGCTGGAGAAGGTCCCGAAAGCGAACGATATTTAGAGAGAACATATCGAAAGGCACCTCAAAAACCACCATCTTCTGTTCACGTGTTTGGTGTAAATCCTTCAACGGTTAGAGTAGTATGGCGTTATGTACAACCAAGTTTAGAAGAGGAACCGTTAATAGGATACAAAATACGTGTTTGGGAATTGGATCAAGATATGAGTACTGCAAATGATACTATCATTCGAGGTGGTTCAAAGTTAGAATCTGATATTACTAATCTCAGTCCTGGTAAGGCATACCATTTACGTGTACTTGCGTATAGTAATGGTGGAGATGGGCGAATGTCAAGTCCAACTTATACATTCCAAATGGGAGATGCAACTGCCTTTAGAAGTAGTGCAAGTAATAAAATTTTGGATGCTGCTCTTGGCATATCATTATTAGTATTATTACGCATTTATGAATATGTATAACATTTGACACTTTTTATATAATATATACTCAACGAATGTATAGCAACAAATTTTTAAGAAAGAAGAATAAGCTTTATGTGGACAATAATTGTATTTCATAATAACAATTTTGTTGCTATATTTTTTATATGGTTATAAAGTAGATACATGATATTTTAATAAGTAGGAAACTACAGATTACAATTGACGAGATGAAAAAGATTTATATTTCATTCATTTTATCACAGATCAAAATAGATTTATTTTATATAACGCAATTATTGAACATAAGAAATAGGTTTATAATATAAAAAGTCATAGTTTCAGTATAGTTTGCACAAAAAAAATTAGTTAAAATTTATATTTAACATGAATTAATTTAGAATAATTTATCTTACCTTTTAACCCCTCAGATTCACTATACTTATCACTATATTTTTATTATTTTGTTTTGATTCTTTTGTGATCATAGCTACATTATGAGGTGAAAACTAATTATATAATTTGAGGTATAGAAAATATTTTGAACATCACTGCATACAATTAGATTATTGATAAATCAGCTACATAGGGGAAAAACAAAAATTCTCTACAGTGCCTGAGAGGTTAAAAAGGAATTTTACAAAAAAGCATACCTATCCGTCCATAAATATTCAAATAACAGAATGTAAATATTTATCATATTTTATATGTAGGTACTTTAAGGCTATTCTATTGTTATGAAAAATAATGAAATAGTTTGTTAAAACAATTTCATATGAAAAAATATAAAAAACTGCAAACATTTTATTTACACTTATCTGTTATTCTAATATGAAAGAAACTCATTACTTGGATAATTATATTATCTGTATATCATATAAGATTAAAATATCTTTTTTTTATAGGTGGCTATGTATATTTATCAGTATAATTTGTAATTCATAAAAATAACAAATCTTTTTCTACTAATGTAACTACATAAATATCATATACAATATATGTTTTTTACAAAGAATAATAATTTTTATTAACTACTAGTGCTATTTATTTCTGTTAATCTAAGGATGCTTAATTTTGTGTCCAATTGTCCATTTAATTTTATTAGCAGGTACTTATACTACTGGGTATATACATTTTTTCACGCTCTTCACTCATTTTAAACTTTGTTCCGCTAGTGTTACACACTATAGTACGTATAGGTTTTTTTGCGAAACTTCCAAAAGTCTAACAAACGGGTTTGTTTGCGAGGTTTTTTGCGATGCGAAGGTTAATATACAAAATTTTGCAAAAATATATTTTACCATTTCATTGTTACTCCCTGTAATTTTTGAAACTTTCATGTCCTGATTGGGATTATATTCTATCAATAGTTTCATTTTACACAGAGAAAATATTGACTAGGAAGATTTTTGGAAATTATAAAGTTAAGATACAAAATTTTACAAATAAGAGTTTCACCATTGTACTATCACTCTATAAGTGAATTTTATAAAGAATTTTTGATATCGGCAATACTGTACTAATTATCATTTAAAATTTCAATATTTTTGATTCTCATTCCTATCACATATAGCGCTGCCATGCAAAACCAGCCTTAGTTGATATGACAGGACATGACATGAAATGGTACTAGTACCTTCGAGAGCATGTAACAAAATTTTACATTGCATGTCATATCTATCCTATACCTTGTCTGTAATCACAGACTTAAGATACGCATTTTAAGTCTATGTCGCTAGTATATCGGAATATTTGTAACGGTGTCGGTATTTCAGACTAATAGACAGAAAATTATATTGCATGGGCTGTCTATACTGATTTTAAATCTTTGGTAAATGAGAACATGTCATCGAAAATGTCACAGATGTCATGATGTGATAATTTTTCTATGATTCCCATCTGTGTACATTAAAATGTTTTGGCGTAGATGTGCAGTTATGTATCTAAGCACGGTAGACGCGGTAGAATAATGGTAAATGTAAAGTAGAGAGATGCGTTAAACGTAGGATTTCATAAATTATATTATCATGGAAGATATCAATGATAAGTTTTTCTACGTGTACAGTTCATCTTTAGACACGAAGATACAAATTAAAATGTAAGATTCAACTGTAAGTGTGTTGAGTACAATAAATGTCAGTATCAGCTGGCATCAGGGTTACTAGAATAAATATGTTATGAGGTACTTTTTCGACGAAAGCAAGTGGACCTCTAACGTTACCATTAAATACAGGATAATCCGATTATAGTGTGTAATCCGGATGACAAATGAATATTTAAATTTTTATCACATTACTTTACAAAGAATCTAAAGAGGTCTTTTAATGTAAATTATTTTAATATGCTATGTACTTCTTACAGAGGAACTTTAGAGGGTAAAAGACAACAGCCAGAATATGACAAATTACTTATAGACCCTATGTTAAAATATTCTGGTCTATATGGTATTAATGGTGAACGAGGGGACTTAGCTGCTTCTTTGCAGGTGTGGGCTGGTGGAAGACCTCTTGCTTTACCTGTTCACACAGCTTATAAACATTTTACTTCACGTTGGAAGTATGTATAACTTTGTTATTCTGTTATATACATATTGGAAAATTTGATGTAATTATTAATTATTTTATAGTTGGAACCAATGGGTGACACTTCATATTTCTTACTCTGACTTACCACGAGACGCTCAGTTATGTATAAGCCTGTATGATTGTGCTGGACCTGGCAGGCAACTACCAGTGGGTGGTACTACAATATCTTTATTTGGAAAGCATGGAGTATTTCGTCAGGGAATGTTAGATCTCAGAGTGTGGCCTGGAGTGGAAGCAGATGGTAGTGTACCCACTAGTACCCCAGGAAAGACCAGGGATCATGGAAAAGAACAAATGCAACGATTAGCAAAGCTTGTAAAAAAACATAGAAATGGGCAAATGAATAAAGTTGATTGGTTGGACAGATTAACATTCAGAGAAATTGAATTAATCAATGAAAGAGAGAAGAGAGCATCTGAGTATTTGTATTTAATGATTGAGTTTCCAGAAGCTATTATGGATGGTATACCTGTAAGACATATTTCACATTTTATAAATTTACTGCTTTCAAAATTAAAAGTTTAAGTATCATACATTATCTGTACATTGATTTGCTTAATTGCACTGCTGAATTTTTGTTGAGTTTCTTATATTTTCCTTTTTACTTTTATCATAATACACATCTTTTTACTTCAGTACTCTATAGTATACTATGAAAAGGATGGAGACGAAGTTGTACAACATAGATCACAACCAGACGTTGTAACTCTTCCTGATTATGAGATTTTACAGGTAAGTCCGACTATTTAATCTTTTTTTCATATAAAGATGTACTACCAATCTTAAAATGCAATAGATGTATCAACTTTTTATTAATAATTATTGTTACTAGGAAAATCTTGTGGAGGCCAAACATCATAAATTAGCACGAAGTTTACGTAGCGGAGGTCATACTAGAGAACTAAAACCAACTTCAAGTGTACGCGATGCTTTGAACATAATATTAAGTTATCCTCCAACAACAGCTCTGTCTACAGAAGAACAAGATTTAATTTGGAAATATAGGTTTTACTTATCCAGCCAAAACAAAGCTTTAACGAAGTTTGTTAAATGTGTCAATTGGAAAGTCGCTGGTGAAGAACGACAAGCTTTAGAAATGTTAGCATTGTGGGCTCCACCAGATCCAGAAGATGCGCTCGAACTACTTGGGCCAGCATTTACACATCCAGCTGTCAGAAGATACGCTATAGCTCGATTGAATCAAGCACCTGACGATGACTTAATGTTATATTTATTACAGTTAGTACAAGCTTTGAAATATGAAGATTTCGAAAGTATTAAAAGAGCTCATCAACTTTTAATGAAAGAAAAAGAATCTGAAAAAGTTGAAAAAGTGGATAGGGATGTACAAATTAACGATTCTTCTTCTACGCCTATAATAAATGTAAGTACTTAAAATTAATCATTCTATTATTACTAAATGGAAATTGAATTTCTGACTTATTACAAATAGTATATATGATTTTTTCAGTCCAGTGAATCAGAGAGTGGAAAATTTTCAACAAATCAAGATTCTCTTATGGACTTAGCATCTTTCCTCATTACTCGTGCATGTCAGAACACTACATTGGCAAATTACTTTTATTGGTATCTTTCAATCGAGTGTGAAGATCAAAATGACCCAGCTATAAGTGCGAAACAAGACACACGTGTTAAAGAAATGTATATTACTGTAATGGCCATGTTTTCGACAATGTTAGCTCAAGGAAATGCTATTTGGCAAAAGAGAAGAGCGTTTCTTTTACGTCAAAAAATATTCATCGACCAATTAGTGGCACTTGTGAAAGCAGTTGCAAGGGAAAGTGGAAATCGTAAAAAGAAGACTGATAGGCTCAGAACATTACTGGCTGATCCAGATCCAGCATTCAAAATCAATTTTTCAAATTTTGAACCAATACCTTTTCCCTTAGATCCAGAAATTTGTATTAAAGGCATTATTCCCGAAAAGTATGACATTTTTTTCACTTTTGAATATTACGGGGTATTTGTTTCGTAATAATTAATCTTATTACTTTTAGAGCAAGTCTATTTAAGTCAGCACTTATGCCATCAAAATTAACTTTTTTGACAACAGACAATAGCGAATACATAGCGATTTTTAAACATGGTGATGATCTAAGGCAAGATCAATTAATTTTACAAACAATAGCACTTATGGATAAGTTATTAAGAAGAGAAAACTTAGATTTAAAACTTACTCCATACAGGTAAATATTTTTTAAATTATCTATGACATATTATGTACTTTAAAGTGAAAATTAATTTATTTCTAGAGTACTTGCAACAAGTACTAGACATGGGTTTTTACAATTTATTGAGTCTACAACAGTTGCAGAGGTGTTAGCTAGTGAAGGTTCTATATTAAGCTTTTTTCGAAAACATCATCCTTCTGAAACTGGTCCTTATGGTGTTGTACCTGAAGTCATGGATACTTACGTGAGAAGTTGTGGTAAGTACATAATCCCTTTCAAAAAATAACTTCAGTGAATATGACTTGCATAAATTATATGAAAATTTGTGTTTCAGCTGGTTATTGTATTATTACTTATGTACTTGGTGTTGGAGATCGACACTTAGATAATTTACTTTTGACAACTTCAGGTAAATTTTTAAATTATAAACTATAATTGCTGATAAGTATAACTAACTTTATCACTATTTATATTACAGGAAAACTCTTCCATATAGATTTTGGTTACATTTTGGGTAGAGATCCAAAACCTTTACCACCACCAATGAAATTAAGTAAAGAAATGGTTGAAGCTATGGGAGGTGTAGGATCAGAACATTATCATGAATTTCGAAAACAGTGTTATACCGCATTCTTGCACTTGCGCAGACACGCGAATTTGATATTGAATCTATTTTCATTAATGGTTGACGCTAGCGTGCCAGATATAGCGTTAGAGCCAGATAAAGCTGTGAAAAAAGTTCAAGATAAATTGCGTTTGGATTTGAGCGACGAAGAAGCAGTGCATTATGTACACAATCTTTTGGACTTATCGGTAACAGCTGTAATGGCAGCGTTAGTAGAACAATTACACAAGTTTGCACAGTACTGGCGGAAATAAATTTAAATCAATTGAAATTATGATCACAAAGACTGTGTTCCTTTCTATTACAAATATAATATATTGTATATAAATGACCATATGTCTATAAAATCTAATATAATTTATTGTATTTTGGAATTATTTTAGGTAATAAATCTTTGATAATAACAAATAATCGGATCATAGTTCTTACACGTTTGTAAATTGCGTATAAAATATTTTTTAAAAATTAATGTCATGTAATCTAAATATTAATAAAAAAAATTTTAAGACATAACATTTGGAAATTATATTTTCTTAACTTTCTTAAATTATACTTTGTAAGAGAATTTGAATATAATTATTTATAAACATTAATTACCACTTTATGAGTTATAATAGTTTAAAAGGAAATTAAATAAAGGTTATTCCTTAAATAAAGATTATAATAATAGGATATTGACAAATAATAGACCAAAAACGTACTCATTATACATATAATCTGTTACGTAAATATTCATATATTTATTTTATCTCTTAGTTACAATCGTGTATGTCGTGCACACTGTAGAAATAAAAAGCTAATTATTGTTAGTGATGAAAATATCAAATTGTTACTGATATAAGAACGCAGCAATGCTATTTTATTTAGTATCACTTTATGCCACTTACGTTTTATTATTTCAATAGATATATATATATACACATACATATATGTACACACACACACATATATATGTATATGTATGTATTTCCTTACGATTGTATGAGAAACTTTGTAATAGAAAATGTAACTATAACTTCCCCATCTCAAAGTATGATATACTATTTATAGGTACAGAAAATTTTTCTTATGTAACTTCTTTGTATGGAAAATACATATGTATATATATTTATGCGGATACATATATGTATACATACATATATACATGCATAAATGTATACATATTAAAAGAATTCAAATAGTGATTAATATTAACAATTCAGTCCATTTTGCAAAATTGATTTTTCTCTAAGTTTACCCCGAAAACATTTTATTAAGTTTGCTTTCCATTTTCGCGCGCGTAAGACATTAATAACTTTACTTAATATATTTCTTTCCCTTGACAATAATATAATATGTACATACGTGACCATAATTGAAAACGCCACGACAAATAAAAACAAATTTATTTTTGATAACATGAGTTTATAAAGAATAGAATATAATAATTTCTATTAGGAGACAATAATAAATCTATCTTGTTTGAGATTCACATACTATCTAGGATGAATATTCCCTTAATTCATATTAGGGGATATTTATTAAAATATAAATTTTACTTGTATATCGTACTAATTTATTCATGAATAAATTATGCAATATTCGGATTAATTTAAATATGCTACAGAAGTAAAATTGATTTCTTTAAAATCGTTGTTTCTAACAACAATCATCCGAACACTTTAATTTAAAACTATTCACCTATAAGTGTGAATTCGTCTCAAACATGATAGATTTTCTGTCAAGACCCTTTTATCCTTTACATTGCATCAACACACAGATTACACGTTATTATAGTTGAAATAATAGGCTTGTTTATTTCTCATAAATGTAAACTACTACCTACAAAGTAAACACTGTACGTCTAATAATCAATCCTTGAATCCGCTCAATTATTCATACCTGTGATTACTTACAACATTAAAAATTTTTATCAACGGGTAGTTTATTGAGCGAAAAAGAAGGATAGTGAAGAACTTATTTGAAAAATTAAGTCTTCGAATGTTAGCCCAAGAAGTCTTTACTTATATATTTTACAAATATTTAAGGGCATACATTGTTAATATTTTACTGAAGATATATTGTGCATTCATTTTTATACAATCATTCGACGCGCCCATTCTTTGGGCATTAGACGAAAAATATCGCTCACTAAAATTAACGCTATGGAGTAGTAGTAACGTAATTCAGTAACTTTGATTACTTTTTAATAAAAAACCGTGACAATATATAAATATTCTACAATCATATTTACTCTTTCGACGTAATTGCAAAACGAATTATTAGTAGAGCGAATGATATTTTCGTTGCAACAATTGCATGATGTGAAATGAATGATTAATAGATTTTACTATTACTTTACCGTTTCACAGCGAAATTTTACAATATACACATTGTATGCATATGATATTTAAAAATGTATAATAATAAGAAATTTATTATATGCCAAAATATTAACATATCTGGGGGACAATGAAAAAAGAATTTATGAATACATCACATTGAAGTATCAACAATACTTCAATATATCAAATAATAATAATATCATAATGTCTTTGCAATGAAACCATATTTCCTCTTGTTAATTACAATGCTTACATATTGAATTTTATATACGAATTGAATCCGTGTCGGTATATATATATACATATATTGTGTTAACATGTAGATGTATATATATTTTTATTTATTTAATAGATATAAATTATAATAAGAATCTAATTTTAACCTTACATTTCATTTCTTATTATCTTAATATTATATTTACACTTGAAAATAGACTCGGGTTTATTTATCAATGGCTGCAATGTCCAATAGTCTATAAAAACAGGGACTCTTCTCATAGCATAATGCTATTACCCACCATAATGTATTACCTCTCTGTAGGCCTAGTGGCTGGTACAGAACTTTCTACAAGATCATGCCTTTCTATTGGGGAATTCTCCAATGTGTAATCAACTGGATATCTTTCAGTATAAGTTGGAGTAGCTTCACCTTGTTGTCTTAATTTTAATTCATCTGACTGTTCCTGATAAAAACTTTGAGATGCCTCAATGTTCTGTGAGGAAGATTGTTCGCTTTTCTCTATGTCATGTGTAGAGTAGTAACTTTGACTGGCTTCGCTTTCTGGTCTATGATCATAGTAACTAGGAGAAACATTATGGCTGGAATAACTTGGCGTAGCTTCTTCTGGAGTAAAATAGCTCTGACTGGCTTCTTGAGGGTTACCCTCATAATAACTAGGAGTAACTTCCTCTTGTGGATCTTCATCCAACCTAGAGTTCGTTTCTTGGCCAACTGATTCATAATAACTCGCTGTTACTTCTTGGTGGTGTGCATAATAACTAGAAGGTTCATTTCTATGATCTGTACTTTCAGTGACAAAGTTTTGAGAAGGTGTTTCTTCTAGGCCGGGCATTGAGATCGGTACTTCATAAGAAGTTGACACATTCTGTTCTTCATAACTAGAGGTAGGTACAGAATCTACATGAGTTGATGTAATGTCCGGATTCAAATTGTATGATGATGTAGGTATTTCAGGTACTCCATTGTCATGGATAATTGTGTGTTCTGCACTAGATGACGCGATATTTAATTCTGCACAAGGTGGAATTTCGCAAGATGATGTACTTATTGCACTTTCTTGATCTGGATCTCTTTCTTGATTCTCAGGAGTTTCTGGAACGTAAGATGAACTCGCAGTTTCATCCTCGTTCAACCCGGAATTATTTGTAGAAACTGAAGATGTACCGATACCATCAGCACCAATATCATTAGACTGAGATGGCATATTTCCTTCCTGACTAATTTCAGTGTCAGTTTCTAAATTTTCTGAAATATTTTCAGCCTTACCGACATCATAGCTCTGTGTGGGGAATGTTTGATCATCAATTCCTTCATCCATAGTTGTTCTCTCTTCTTGACTTTGCATAAGTTCATTAAAGGATTGCGTAGGCGCATTCGTACTTTCTTCCACAGAAGTTTCATATGATTGAGAAGCCTCGTTTATCTTCGAATGCTCAAACGATTGGCTTGGTGGTTCTGTGACGATTGTTTCTTCGTCTGTTTCCATAGGTTCGTATGCTATTGATTGCGAAGGTTCTCTCGAATTTTCGGACTTTGTAGCAGATTGACTAGGTAAGTCAGTAGAATCAGTAGTCACTGCGATACCAAACTGTTCGTACGACTGCGATGGCGTTTCATGACTAGTTTCTGAAGTCGTCTCTTCGAACTGTAGGTCCAAATTTCTTTGGACTATATCCGATTCTCCCTGAGATGATGGCTCATCTCTTCGGCAATCCTCTGATTCCATTACTGTACTCGCAGCGTAAATTTTAGACTCAATACCTTCATCCATATCTATACTTTGCTCGTCTAGACGGTTCAATGATTCTGCAGGTAAAATTTGAGCTGTTTCTTGGGCAGCTTCTACTTCATTAGATGTTGCCGCTTGTTCTTCTGTTATGGGAGAATGAATTTTATTGTTAGATTGTTCGTTGAAGTTCAGTTCTTTAAGTTGTTTTACATTTTTCGATTCTTGCAATGTATCCGTATCTATCTCATTCGAATCCGACACTTCAAAGTTCGCATGTTCTACAGACGGCAATTTTACATTGGATTCAGTTGTGATTAAAGCAGTTTCATCCATTATGGGCATACTACTTGTCTGTGCAGATTCATCTGGTTGTTCTGCAATTTGTACCTGTACTATACTGTCATTATTACTAACGTCCTCGTTTTGCTTATCCGCTGCTATATTTGAAGCATCATCTTCTTTATCAATTGTAGATTGCAAAGTCATCTCTTCCGATTTAGTGGAAATTTCTTTAGAAGAATGCGCTTCTTGCAAAGGTACTTTTGTGTTTTGTTCTTCATTTAAAATAGAAGGTTCATTCGTTGACACAATAGGTTCCTGAGAAGATACAGGGACATCTTGCGATGCGATCTCTGATGTTACAGTAATATCTTGTGATTGCACACTTTCTGTAGAAGTTGGAGGTTTTGAAACAAGCATTTCAGAAACCGATACATCTACAAAAGTTTGCTCTGTCGTTATCGTTGATTCCATGGTAGAATTAAATTGGACATTTTCTGTGTAGGTGTCGTCTATTATAGGCATCGAGGGAGTAGTTTGAACTTGTGAAGTTTGTAAAACTATGCTATTCGGTATCGAAACTGAATACGAAGCATTGGGCATTGAAATAGCGTCGGTTTCCACTTTCTGAGCTTCTGTGGGAATATTGCTTTCTAAATTCGGCAACACTAAGTATTGAGTAGTTACAGGAACTTCTGTTCTTGAGATTTCCGCTGTATTTGAACTTTCCATGATTTCTCCAATATCTGGCATAGAATTGCCAGGAATCTGTATTTGTGCTTCACCTGTTGAAATATAAGAAATACTAGGATTCGTTATCGTTATTGGCAATTCAAGAGAAGATGGAATATCCGTCACAGTAGAAGTCGGCGTTGTTTCTGATTGTATAGGTAAATTACTAGGCACTTCTAGTGGAGTCATTATAGGTTGATTTAAAGTCAAAGATGTTTCAAGTACAGAAGGAGAAGATATTGGTTCCGTAGGGGGAATAATGGTTGATTGTAAAATAGTTTGATTTATCAAACTTGTCTGTGTCAAGCCAGCAGTCATCACATTTCCGGTTGGATTCTCCGATAAACTGATTTCTTGTTGAAAATCTGTATTAGCCAGAGCAGCTGCTAGAATATCTTGATTCGATGTTTGTATCACTTCTGAAGTAGGGAAGCTTTCTGATATAATCGTCTGTGTGGGTTCCGTAGTACTAGTCTGTATGTTTGGTAGAACACCATTGTCAAACTGCAAAACAATATTGTCTAATGTACCTGCTTCCCCCAATGAACTAGGATCTATGTACAAAGTTCTTGTGCCATCTGGATTTTGTGTTGTGCCCTCTAATGACATAAGAGCATTATTGTCAAGCGGCTGTATCTGTCCCTGTTCATCAATAGTTACTAAAACATAAGTTTGTGTTCCATCGCTACTTTCTGTTGGTAAAGCCATTATTTGCGGCTGTGTAGTGATCTTCGGTTCTTCTACTTTTTCTGCTTCATTGCCTTTCTCAATGCTGAACTTGTCTCCTTTAGCTTGTTCCTTATGAATAACTTCTGAAAGAACATTTTCTACTTTCGATTTCTTTTCAGATTCAATTGGTTCTAATGGTGGAAGAGACAATGAAGTAGACAGATTTGTGTTTACATTAGTTGTTGATGAATTCATTGCTATATTCAACAAATTCTTCTGATGCTGAGCTGTTTTACTTATTGCATGACTTTTTACACCAGCTTTCGTGGACGTTGCACTACTAACAGAATGTTTTTGTTGAGTTACCTTGGGCATACTTGATATACCTGTCAGTGACCCCGAAACGGTTTGTTTCGCTTGAATATTTTGTACAGTCGTAATTGCAGGTTCTTGAACTTTCTGAACAACAATTTTCTGTTGTATTTTTGATTGCCGGCCACCACGAGAAACAATAACTTTTTGTACAGCCGACGTAGGTACTGCCTTTCCTTTTTGAACTTGCGAACTCATGCCCATTGTTTGTTGAGTACTGCTTTGGGATGTAATATTTTGTAATGGAGATCCTTGCTGTACAACTGTTTGTTTAATTATTCTCTTCCCTTGTGTAGTCTTTTGAGTAGGGACAGTATTTTGCAAAACTACCGTGTTACCTGCACCTTTCAAATGTCCTGATCTTCCTTGAGAAGACATTGGAATTTTTTGAGATTTCTGTAACATAGGTAATTGCACTTTCTGCTGGACAGACTGATACTGCACTTTACTGCCTTTAGATGGACTTTTCGCTGCAATGGCTTTCACTTGTTGTCCTGTTATTGGTGTCAACACAGTAGCTTTAGTACTGATACCTTGAGGGCTTAAAATTGTTTTTCCAGCAATAGCTTGAGATATTGGGGTTAAAATAGCTTTAGAAGGACCTAAACTTTGTGGAGACAAAATGGTTGCACCTTTTGTGACCAAGGCTTTTGATCCAATAATAGCTTTACCACCCAAAGTGGAAGCACTTATCGGCGTATAAATCCCGCCTTTTGTAAGAATTCCTTGAGGTAATGTTCCTAATAGTGCAGTCTTACCAATTGTTCCTGAAATAGGAGTCAATACACCTTTTGACGTTATTATTCCTTGTGTATTTATAATTTTATGGCTTGTAGAAAGTTTGGATGTTGTTGGAGATACACCATCCCCTTTCGGAGCAATTACCGTTTTTGAATTTATAATACCCTGTGGACTAATGGGACAGAGTATTTGTCCTTTACTAGTCATAATCCCCTGTACTTTACCACCTAAAGTTTTAGATATATTTAGAGGTAACATCTTAGTTTGACCAGATTGTGCTGATGTTAAAATAACTACTTTGCTTCCTTGTGCAACTACTTGTGCATTTCCAGCACTTTTACCAGTTGGTATAGCGATTTTTTGATGAGTACCAGCTTTGCCCTGAACATTATAACGTAATTGCTGTCCCCCCGAAGTTTGTACCACTACATATTTACTTGGTGTACCCTTCTGTGTTAAAAGAGGAGGAACTTTACTTGTTGCTGGAGCATTTTGAAATTTAATACCTTTTACTCCACCAGTCAGTGGAGGTACTAACGTTTTTATACTAGTAATTGTAGGTTTGGCTTTACTTTTATTCTTTAAAATTGCAGGAGTACCACTCTTTTTCTTTGTAGGCGATACTTCAGTTGTATTTTCATTTAATTTATATTGAGTTTGAGTAGGTGACACTATTTGAGTGGTAGGTGTAAAAGACAGAGTTGCTGGTATTGTACTAGATGCCGGTATAATAGAAGATATGACAACAGGCATTTGTTCAATACTCTCTGGAGTTAAAACATCTTCACTGAGGACAAATGGCATTGAATTTATATCTAATTCCATATCTGCCAAACTTTGGGAGCTTTGTTGAATAAATTTCTCAGTTGTAGCTGTCATGGTAGGAGGAGCCTTCGAAGTTTTTAAATTTAACTGTTCATTTTGTGCTTCCATCATTGCAGCTGTTTCTGCTTCTTCAGCTTTCAGTACTTGTAATTTTTTAGTTAATGACATTTGAGATGTTTTAGAACCAGTTTTTATTTTAGTTCCAGATGACAAAGATTCAATTTTCATTATTTTTGCCTTTGGACTTCCTTTTGAATCAGACTTTTTTGTACTATCTGTTTCTAATTTATGCTTTACACCTTTTTGTGGGAATTTATCTAACAATTTTGATTTTAAAATCTGCATAGGTTCAGTTAACGTTACGTTCTCAATTATTCGTGGCATTTCACGTTTCTTCACAGGTACAGTAACATCCGACGACGGCGAAGGTGTAGATGTAGACATCCTTGAAGATTCGTCCACTTTTTGTATATCTATGTTAATAGATTTTGAGCTGTCCTCGGTAGAATGTGATTGTGCTAGTGATTTGGAAGTAATGCCAAATTCGCTTGATGACGACGCAAGTTGATTAACATTTTGAAACACGGCATCGTCTACTTTCGCATCAATCTCAAGATTCTGATCAACTACTACCTCTATACCCTCGAAATTGCTTATAACCGTGACTTGTGAATTATTTCCTTCACTTTGAACATTAGATGAAGTTTCTATTTTCTTATGTGACTCCTCGTTAGTGTTTATGTCTTGGACTGTTTCACCGGAAATATTTATATCCACGCCTTCTTCGTGTTTTTTCTTGGCTGATTTTTTACCTTTCTTTCCCTTTCCAATTGTATCAGAATCATCCATTGCACCTTTTTTCTTGTCCATGTGTAAAGTCTTCAAAAAAGCTTCTTGGAATGTATTTGAAGACTTTTCTTCTGCAAATAAATCTTTATCTTTCTTTGATTTAGCACCTGTCTCCGGTGTAAACTTTCCTTTGTACCTTGTTTGCATTGACGATTTCTTTTGAAGTTGTTGCTCACTTGCTGTATCTTTAGATACTTGTTCTGAGCTTTCTAATTTTAATTCTTGCTTTTGGATATCAGATGTTTCTATTTCTGTTTGGTGAACTTCCTCATTTATTGATGCAACTTCTTCATTACTCTTCTTATACTCTTCTGTCAATATTTCTTTCTCAGTATCTTCATTCTTTGTGCCCAATTCAAGTTTCTCGGAAAAAAGAATTTCCTTCTTTTTCAAAGAACGAGTTTCATCTGTATCTTTATTAGATTTAACTATTTCTGTATGTTTTACTTGTTCTTGTCCGTTATCTACTTCAGGGTCTATGGTAGTTTTATCAATAGGGGCGTCCGTGTCAAAAAAATCAATTTGTGATAATTCAAACTTTTTGATCTGCGACTTCTTAGGTGGTAACATATCAACGGTCTTTGTAATACTTGCCGATTGTGGAGAAATTTCTTTTTCCGTTGAAACTTCCAGTTGAAGTGTACTAGATGATTCTACACTGGGACTTTTTAAATTTTCTGCGTGAACAGCATTTGAGCCTAATAAATGTTCAGTTTCCATTACTACGTCTTTCGCTCCTTCTGATTCATGTATTGTATCTTTACTTTCATCAACGGTTTCCACTATTTGAGGTTTTGTATGTTCAGGAAACACAAACGTGTCATCCGTTTCTTTTGGTAAAAATTTTTCTTCCAAAGACATTTTCAATTTTTCATAAATTTCAATGGGTGCTTGATTATCACTACCTCTTGTATCTACTTCCATAATGTTTTCATCTTTAAATGTACTGCTTTCAGTCAAATTGTCTTGCAATTCGGAACTGGAAGAATTAATGTTATTTTCCGTTGTATTTGAAGTATTACAAGAAAATTCTAATTCTTTTTGTTCTTCCACCACAATTTTTTCGCTTGATTTCTTGTCAACTTCCACCAATTTTTTACTCCTTTTTGTTCTACCTTTAACTCTTTCAGAACTTTTTTCTTCACTTTCAGATTGACTTTCATCAGTCTTATATATTCTTTGATCTAAATCCTGCACATATATATCAGATTCTAAATATTTTTTATTCGGTTTTCGTTTTCTTCCACTGTACGAACGCTCACTGTCAGATTCTGAAGTTCTCCTCTCAAGTTCAAATTTTTCTAAAAGTTTTTGGTTGTTCTTATCCTTTATCCTTGGACTTTCATTTCCGCTGGTATTTCCACTGGTGGTACTATTTAAGGATTCCGATTTTCTTGGTCTACCTCTACGCTTTTTTGTTTGTGGAGTAACATTTATTTGATCGTTATTTAATAAAATATTAGTAATATTGGAATTGGGTGTTTGATCTTGATCTAGCATATCTATATCGGAATTCTCACTTTGTTCAGGAAGCGTATCGGCAGATTCAGAAACTGTTTCGTCCTCTGTTTCCGTCGTAAATCGTTCGGACAAAACTTCGTCCATTTCTTTTGAAGGTTCCTCCTTATTTCCTGCATTTATACTATCAGTATCTATGCTTTTAGATTCCACTGGTTTATCGACGCTGGTTTCACTCAGCACATTTAATTCTTTATTTTCTGTTAGTTCTACCTCGATATTTAGTTTAGGAACTCCATGCGTTTCAGTTTTTGGAGAAGTTATAACATTTTCACTTTCACTTTCCGTCTTTTCAACCTCAAATATTTCGACGATCTCCAGTTCCTTCTGAGAAGTACCAGTATCAGATTTCTGCGAATCTGTTGATGGTTTTTCTGACTCAATTTTCTCTTTTACTTTTTCAACTTTATTGTTTACTGGCGTGTCATCTATAATTTTTTTACTTTTTTCTGATTTCTCTAAATCTTTTGCACCCACAGATGACATTCCATCTAACTTTTCATTCTCAGTTGGTTTAATATTATTGTCTTCATCCGCAGTTTTATTATTTTCCGCTTCCTTTTCTTGCTCTGTTTTTAAAGCTTGACTCATTTCAAATTCCTTTATAATTTCCTTCTTCTGGTGAAATGCACGTGCTTTTTTTCTTACTGGAGGTATGGACAGTTCCTCTTCATGAAAATCAAAACAAGACAATAATGATTTTTTATCATCTTTGTTAGACACATTAAGTTTACTTTCATTATCAGAATTAAGAGGTTCTTTTTCTTTTTGTGATTTGTTAAAAGATTCATTGATCTCAACATCAGATGTTCTAATGTCTTTTTCTTGTTCCAATTTCTTATCAGAAAGATTTGATTTAAAATTTTTTATAACATTAGTACTATCATCGATTTCAGAATCTTCCATTATATTTATTGATGTTAATTTCTCCGTTTCTTTAAGTAATTTTTCAGTCTCTGCAATAATTTCATTAGGATCTGGAAGTGCACTATTCTTCTGATCAGATTCTTCCGATTTATCAAGATCAAATTGACTTTTTGTTGGAACATTATTTACAGGCATTGAATCAGATTGTTTACTTTGATTTAGGCTAATATCTTCATCGGACTCATCCTCCCAGTCTGCCAATATAGTATCACGAATTTTGGGATCTGTTTTCTTCTTTTTAGCAACTTTTTCATTTTGTTTAATTTGTTTTCTCTTCCCGGACTCGCTACTACTTTTACTTCTGCCCGACTGACTTTTGTCTTTCCGCACATATTTTCGTTTAGGAGTGTCTACATCTGAATGCTTGCCCCTATATTGAGAATAAGTTTTTACTTTTGTTTTTGACATTGGTGAATTCCCAGATCTATGACTTTTTATATGACAAATAATAACATTAACGCGAGAAGAAGTAAAATTGCACAAATGACAAGGATATTGTGGAGAACCGGTATTATTTGGCGTTGATGGTAAACTGCTGGGCTGTTGACGAATTCTGACTTCATGGTCACTTTCTTTTAAAAATCGTGGATGTGTGATTTTCCTTACAACTTCAATAGAATCACTTCTTTTGGGAGTATCTTCTCGTTCCTTTTTTTTCTTTGTTACTTTCTTATCTCCAAATAAAGCTGATATGTTTGGCTTTTCTTCTGGACAAAATTTATCATGACTTAAAATATCCGGATCACCTCCAGTTAATTTCTCAGCCATTTCAACATCTCCAGGGAATTTATCCATATACCTAGAGCCATCTTTACTTTTGCTTCTATATTTATCTGCAAATAAACACGGTGTACGATATAGTAATGAATTTGGTAAGTCTAGCAAAAACAAAATATTTATTTTAAAAAGTATGTACAATTAAAATATACAATATACAGTAAAGAGCATACCAAGTCCTTTTCTGATGAATTCATCTTTCTGTGTACAATTGTATTTATAAATTTGTTGATAGTTTTTGACAAATTCACTGAAAACAATGAAAGTTTTATATTAATCACATAAAATAGATATAATTAAATCTTTAAATACCTAAACTAAAATTACAAAATAAATAAACAATTAAATATACATGAATAAAATTGTGTAAACATTAAATTACTTACTAGGTGTCTTCTTGAAAGAACTTTACAGCAGCTATTAAAGGCTTCTTTTGAAATTCGTCTTGTATGTCTTCGGGTAAATTATTAAACCCAGTGACTTGTCCTGGCCACCAACAAGCTCCAAGTTTTACCCATACTATATCACCATCTAAGTAATTGATTTCTGTTTGCTCACACATCTTAAAGAGTTTTTCAGTTTTATACCTTCACAATGTTAGCATTGAAGTTCAAAATTATTTTTTACATTGGTTTTTTGAAAAGCACCATTACTATTAACTGTTCCAACGTTTAACCATAGAAAAGAAATAATCTACCGTTCAAAATATAGTCTTAATATGCATCAACAACGGTTAGTTCAATTTATTGAATAATAAACATGATCTATATAAGAAACCATATAAAACAAATGCAATACCCAAAGAAACTAATGACTCATCTAAGTTTCTGGACACCTCGTAATTATGTTTCCTTCATTTTGTAGCTTATTGTACTTAAAATACATGTATCGATTGAACATAAAACACTTTTAGCCGCTCCATATATATATTTTTCAACTGTAAACACGAAAGATAGCTCGGTCACTATCAAATCCTCCAAAGAACACATTTAAATAATTGTTTCTATGAGCTTTAAATAATTATACGTCCTTTACAGATCTATAAATTGCACCATAAACATTTGCATCAATATTTAATGTTCATCATACTCTGCTCCAAATAGATGTATGAAATGGTATACTAATAAAATCGTCGTTGTTTTTATGTTGTTATCTTAGGGCACAGTAACAACAATTCATGTTACCACGTCAGGCAAAAATATTCACTTCAAACAGCCAGTTAATTTGGGTGAACACTGTTTGATGTTTCAAAATACAATGAATTCTTTCCCCATATGCACAAGTGGAGGTGAAAATTGGATCAAACGCGTATTCGCGGGAAACCAGGAGCGAGCGTCACTCCATTCGTCGTGCACCGCTTCGTTGACCCTGGTCTCGATGCCGACGTTGTCCGCGGGAGCCACGTCGGGCATCTTAGCCCGCGAATTCCGTGATTGGATGTTCCACACACAGATGCACAATTGTGAATGCGCGGCTATCCCGGCTGTTTGTTAGAACGACGCCGCGATAGAGTCAGACACCTCCAGAATTGGCGAGCGTCCCAGGAAAAGAACGAGTTTCTCTTTTCAGCTCACCTCTTATCACCTAGTCACTATACACTAGAAGGTTTTATAAGCACCTCGATTGCCGACCACGCGACGTTGCTGCGCGCACATACAACCGCGAAAAGTGCAAGCCAACCCCGAACGTAATCGACACATTCAACGCTCTACGTCGTTCGTACGACGTACGTACATGTTCAGTTTCCCGACGTGCAACGGGGCTCCGTACGGTGGATGGATGGATGTGTAGATGGATACTTCCTTCTCTCTCGTTGATCGAGATTCTCGATCCGGCAGTATTGCCAACTATTGCGCTTCAATAACCTTCTACGCGCTTATTTTATTTTGATTATTCTTCTATTTATAATCAATTATCTATATTGTTAATCAATTTCTGTAGATACGTTGATATTGAATAAATAATGTTCATCGCAAATCGTAGTTGTTTATTGGGAAATTACGGAAAAAACTCGAGCTTCGAAGGATCAAAGGTTGTAAGGATCGAAATTCTACGTATACGGCTTTGCGTACGTTTCGCGGTTTATCCTTTAAAAACAGTATATTAGTAAATGCATGCATATGTAATATTCTATGCTCCGAATTTTAACAATTACAATTGGCTAATATATGTTTATAATTATATAAAATAAAATGCATATATTTGTATACCCTGGTAGAAAATGTGATAATATAATGAAACATGAATTGTTAAACGTAATCAACGTTAATATATACCTTAACGTTGTTATAAGCTAGAGTTTAATTTTAAGCTAACTGTTTAATTTTTTAAGCTATATAACAGTTAAATGTGATAAAATATTCCGTTATAGAATTATATAAATTTTTATTAATATTGTGCTATAAAATGTTTGTTACGTATAACCATTGCTAACTGTATAATTGAATTATCTATTATATTTCAATTTTCTTATATAACAATATCTATAAAATGTATACTTTTGTAGGTAGTAAAAGTGTTAACATTTGTTTCTTATAACGATTAAAAGGAACCCATACCATACATTGCGATAAATTAATTGAATTCAAATTATAATATCAATACGAATCTAATTTATTAAATTATATTAATAATTCTATTAAATTGAATTTTAAATATTTCATTCCACAAAGTACAATAAATATTTGATTATTTATATGATAATTTATAAATTGCTACAATATTTTAGAGAAAGCAGTAAATATGCTTTCATTTTAATATAATGCCTTTAATTTAAAGCAATTAGATCTCCGGAAATTTAAATAAATTTGTAGAAATATTGATATCTAAATAAAATTATTCATAATTTACGTTTTGAAAGCTTTTGACTGCAAAATACGAGAATTCAGAAAGATTCATATTTTTTCCTCAACAGTTGGTTATACTGTGTCGTCGGGCGGGTAAGTGTAATTTTGACAATATTTTCCGGTAGGAGCGCTGTCGTTTTGCGTCAATGTTTACTATTCGTTTCCGGTTTATGTCGTAGCTTAACGACGTTCTTCATTTTTCATTATACGTCCTCCTTTTGCGATAAGTGTAGATTTACGTACGTTGTATATATCGCGTTAGAAGATTTTTCGTGTAGTAAACAATATAGTAACGTGGATTACAACGTATGTTCCGAGTTTCAGAATTGTAACGATACCGGAAGTTCTGTAGTTTCGTTATCAGTACGTATATTCACAGTTAACAGAAATGGCGACCGCTGTACCCTCAAGATTCGCGATATTGAGTCTCGATGATGACGATTGTGAGCCAAAGAAAACCCAGAAGAGTGTTAGCGCTAGCAAGACAACTCAAAAAGCAAAAAATATCAAATCGAAGCAACAGCAACAGCCGAAGAAGGATGACAAGAAAAAACAAAACAAGGTATG